CAGAATTTTTACAATAACAGCTTCATGTATTTGACATGCAAGGGTGCGCTAATTTTTGTATGCCTGCTGACTTGATAAATAAATTTGTTTACCGAAATAAATGGAAGAAAGCCCATTATAAATTGATTTTGGCTTCTGAAGCTGAGATGATGGGAGGTCTTAGGATCTTTTCAGTTGGGGTGGGCAGCCATATATTTTGCTCAGAATCTTGTGTGGGATATGGCTAAGAATACTTTGTATTAACTGTCACAGAGTACTGAGAACAGAATGCTTTTATTTAAATGCTCTTAGTACTTATTGCTATTTATTACTTTTTTAAAAATCAATAGAGATTAAATATCTAATCCCACCACCAGCAGCGATTGCCCATGATTTTAAAGTGATGTTTCACACACAGTATTTCCAAATCAGACATTTTACCAGAAGCTATTCTGATTATAAAATTTTGCTTTGGTTTCATAAGCATTCAATTTTCATTAAATTTCAAGGGCCTTATGGCTCGGCCATTTTTCTCTTCTCACAACAAATTACCATTTACACCTACATTTCGCCTTGATCAGAACAGATGACTCTGAATAGTACTATCTTCTGGGTTTTGAGGTTGTGTAATTCTCTGCCTGCTTGTACAGTTTTCTTAGTTTGCTTGCTCTTTGACCATGATGACAAAGCAAATGTTCCTCAGAAACATAAGGATTTTCCTAAACAAGATGCCTTGTGGACCCAAGAAAACGTATTCCTCGAAGTCACTGCTGTTTCATCCAGAGATTCAACACATATAATAATTAGAAATTGAGTTCACTCACTCACTCATAGAGCTTAGCTCTTCTTGAGAATTTGCCAATTGTGCAGCTACTCAATAAGTTTCCAGCATTTTATGGAACTTTAAGGTTCATTACCACATTCACAAGATCCCTCCACTGGTCCCTATCAACAGCCAGATCAATCCACTCCATATCATCCCATCCTGTCTCTAAGATCCATTTTAATATTGTCCACCCATCTTCTTGGTCTTCCCAGTGGTCTCTTTCCTTCTGGCTTTCCCACAAATATCCTATAGGCAATCTTTTTCTCCTCCATTCATACTACATGCACTGCCCACCTCATCCTCCTTGACTTCATTATTCTAGTTAGTATATGGACAAGAGTACAAGTTATAAAGCTCCTCATTATGCAGTTTTTTCCAACCTCCTGTCACTTCATCACTCTTCAGTTCAAATATTCTCCTCAACACCCTGTTTTCAAACACCCTCAGTCTATGTACCTCCCTTAATGACAGAGACCAAGTTTCACACGCATACAGAACCACAGGAAAAATTATAGTTTTGTATATTCTATTTATGTTTTTGGACAGCAGACGAGAAGACAAAACGTTCTGGACTGAATGGTAGTAAGCATTACCCAAGTTCAATCTCCTCTTAATTTCTTCCTGAATCAGGTTTTGATTTGATATAGTCATTCCCAAATATATGAACTGTTCCACATTTTCAAAGCATCTGCTACCTATCTTTATGTCATGATTTTGCCCTGCATTCTGCTGAAGAGACAGCAACATACACTTAGGTTTCTCTGTGTTTACTTCTAGACCAGTCTACTTACTGGTGTAAATTAAAGACTGTGTTTTTCTTTATGGTATCTATATTATCACCCAGTAGATTCACATCATCAGTATAGACCAGCAGCTGATGTGCCCCATTTAATTTCAATCCCACCTGGTTTCTGTGGACCTTCGTAAAGGCACATTCTAAAGCAAAGCTGAAAAGCAGTGGTGATAAAGCATCTCGTTTTGGACCATTCTGGATAGCAAAATTATAAGACAAATGTTTACCTATATGGATTTTAATATATGTTTCATTTAAACACATTTTAATCAGTCTAACTAGTTTCATGGGTATACCAAACTCTATGAGGATATTGTAAAATACTTCCCTCCTAACTGAATCGTAGGCTTTCTTGAAGCCTGGAAATTGCTTATGTACTCTCACTGTACTCCCACTTTTCCTCTAGTATCTGACGAATGCACCGGTCATGGTAGCCAGGTGGTCTAAGGCATGTACTGCCTTCACTCGCTTGGAAGCCTGGATCATGGGTTCAAATCCCACATGAAGCATTGATGTTTTGTATGTGTATGTTTATTATTCTGTTTGTGTTGTCCTGTGTGTTGTCCTGTGCTTAAGTAGAGGCCTTGCAATGAGCTGATCCCTCGTCCAAGGAGTCCTACCGTCTGTAAAATGACCATGAAAATGAAAATAAGAGGCCAGGGCCGAAAGGGGGCTGTGGAGCTGGCAAAAAAAAATCTGTCAAATGCAAAAGAATTGATCAGTAGTTTATCTCTTATGTCGAAACCCACACTGATGATCTCCAACAATTTCATCTGTATGTGGACTTAACATTGAGAGTAGAATATTGGATAAAATTCTGTATGAAGTTGACAGGAATGATGTCCCACAATAATTACTACACTCACTTTTATCACCCTTCTGGTGAACTAGTATAACAGACTCCTTCCATCAATCAGGCAAGTCTTCCTTATTCCAAATTGAATTAATTAGCTTATGGATCTTAGAATGTAATATTTCACCTCCTGCTTGAATCAGTTCTGCCGGAATCTGATCACTACCTGGCAATTTATACCTTTCGTTCACATTTTCCATTTCATTTAACTTGCAACTTCACAGAATTTCATGCAATGTTGTATATACATTACTTCACATATTTAGTAAACTATTTCGCTTCACATTTAAAACGTGAAACGTGTTTCAAAACAGCATACTCTTACTTTAAGCCGGAATATACAGATACACTAAACTTTTTTTTCCTGGCACTACAGCCCCAGTGGGCCTAGGCCTACCTACATGAACTCCGTTCACTCCGGTTTTTTCTAGATTTTACATAGACGGTAGGACTCCTTACGCGAGTGATCAGCTCATCGCAAGGCCTCTACCTGTAGACAAACACAGAAAAGCGCACACAAACATCCATGCCCTGAGTGGGATTCGAACCCACGATCCCGGCTTCCGAGCGAGCGAAGACAGTGCATGCCTTAAACCGCTCGGCTACCGTGACCTGCCCCACTACACTACCTACCTGTTGATAAATTGTCATCCAGTAACTATTCTCTGCAGTGTTCCTTTAGTCCTCGTGGTGTTTTGCAGTAATGTGTTTTCCAGGTAGATGAAGAATAATGCTGCAATCAACGTATACATGTAACTAGTCAGTTTCAGTCAGTCCACTATGGTCCACTATGTTCTTAGCTTTCACTGATTATTTTCACTTTTTTCACGCCATTTTCCCTTCAGGTTTTCGCGCGCAATTCTTTCATCTCTCGTGATTTTCTCCAGTTCCATTTGACAGGACTCGCTAGCTCAATGGTACCTGCAAACTAATTAAGTTTCATTTTCATTCAACTTACGTCGTTCTGTACACCCTCCATCCCTTCTCTAGTGCACCTGTAAGCTTGTAAGACTTGTCAGACTTAAGCCGTGTTAAGCATTCCATTGCATGGCGCGAAAATACACGAGGTCAATCTCGTGGAATTATTTGCAGCTATGTTGGATTACGTAAGTGAGGCAGTAGTTAGCCTTTTAACCGACTGAACTAAGGCAGTAGCTGTTGTTCCACCGTTGCTGCGGTCAGATGAATGGACAATATACGCGTTCGTATTCCCAAACACAAAGCTTTATTTACTTATATGTGTGATTCATGGGGGGAAATTCCGGTAGGTTAAAGTTATCAATCGGCGTAAGAAATCAGGCACCATGCCTTAAAGACGTAAAGGGAGAAGAGATATGGAGAAGAGATGATTCTCCAATTCTCAATTTTTGCACTTGATGGAGCTCCGTTGTTAGCTCCACCCACGTTCAGCTTTTCGCACGAGGAAACGTCTTGTGGCTCATGACGTTATGGATAAGAAAAGGAAAAAAAATCTTGTCCTTGCCGGGAATCGAACCCCGACTCCTAGATCGATTAGTCATTTTTTTTTATATTCGCTTAGTGGAGTCCAGTTGGGTAGGTTTAGCCATTAGTCTAATCGCTATATAAACTGAGCTTAAGCCGCTCAAGCGGTTGAGGCACCCACACACCAGAGCGCACCAGAGCGATCGCAATGGCGGTGGTGGTCACGGTGTCGATAAAGTGGTAGCGATTAGTTTGAAAAATCGCGTAAGCACATCATAAACGATGCATCGATTACCTCGTCAGGAAGAAGCGTTACTTTTGGCAGCGGTAGTTGATGATGAGCAGCAGCAAGCAAGGTAATTATTCCTTTTATTGTGTACAATTGGAGAAATTTGAGAAGTTATTACAAATATTAACATCACAATTAATTGTATATTAATTAATATATTTTTCAGAAAGAAGCGTAAGAAAACGTGGATCTGCCCATTTGTTCCTAGACTTCATCTTTTTTTATATATTTTTGTAATCAGGATGCGACAAATCAAATAATATATTATGTAATTTCACTTCTTCAGTAAGTTGTTCTGTTGTTATATTCATTGTTCATGCTAACACACAGTGACGCGAGCACCAGTCAAAGTCGACAAGGTCGACAAGCTGCATCTGATCTGATTTCATGACGTTCATGACCAGGGGGTGCAACTGGGATAGGGGAAAGGGAAACACGGTAACTTCTGCCTCTGGAAAAAACCTCATGCAAGTCTCGACCAATCAGAGAGCCTAAACAAACCAATTTGAATTCCCGCAATTATATGCGGTTATGGTGGATCAATATAGGCAAATTGGTAAGTATGAATTTTGATTTGATGTGGTTGCGAAACGAAAGTAGACAGTAGCAGGGAGCAGTAAAAAAATTCTGGTGGTATAATAGCATACTTTCTTACCGACAGGGCAGGTGGTATGATATCATACCTTCTTACCGACCGAGCCCTCGGCACTGGCGGCAACCATTTTGTATCAAGAGAGTGGCAGCTGGCCACCGCGGCAGCAGTGATGCTTCATGACATCACGGTGGTTATGTTGCCCGCCAATAGCATTGAGTTGCACCGCGGTGTTGTTGACTTCATGAAGTTCACGAAGGTTCTGATAGCTCGGACAGTACAAAACGGTAGAAAAGGTAACATACAGTTGTTAAGAGTCCCATCTCCTGGGATATAACGCCGTATAGTCCGTTGTAAGGCAAGAGACATCTCAGATCAGAGGAACATGTCGCTTCAGTCAACAGTGTCGAAGAATAATCCGAGCAACAAGCCAGCATGAATGTACCAAGAGACCGTTTGAGTGATTGTATGGTCTATTAGTGAAATGTGGGCGGATTCCTAGTATTTGTTGTATGCCGGTTTGGTTCAATCTGCAAGACCTTCACCTCATTTCAGCATATTCTGTGGTCTTCGTAAGCATGTTGCGCCAATTTTGATTTTTTTCAAGCAGACACTGTATCAGGTTATATTTGTGCTCCTTTATTTCTTCTAAAGTTCTGCTTGTTTCGCCGATTTAACATCTGCAGCAATCACGTCTTGGGAAACAGTATGATATGTTTAACGCAGAGGGACTTTTGTTGTCTCAATGTTTTCTTGGAAACTTTGAGTGTATCAACGTATAGTTTACAACGTATTTGCTACTTCAAGTGAACTGTAAAAAAGTAAAGCTCTTCCTGTAACAGGCCATGAAGGCCCATAGGGTTGTGAGACATTGAGGGTCCCACATTATCTAGACAGTCTGCTCAAAACTGGCGGTAAGGTTGTCAGCCTTACGCGCCGGCCGCGCTTTACTCTCCAGGAAAATTATTTAATTAATTCCTGGTACGCATTTCTGTTAGAGGCTGAGTCGACCCCAGGGCCATAGTGCGGCTAGAAGGATTACAGTGTAGTATTTAGAACTGACAGTCCTCTGAGGCGTAGTAGAAGTATTGGTTATGGTGGGGAAAGCTCCAGCATGCCGACAAGTGTGGAGGGGAATGCAGTACAGGCGTTCTCAAAAGGAAATAATTTCTTACCTCTTTGTGTTTCATAGTGTTGGCGGTCTAGTCTCGATGATGTTCACATGTCCGATGTTGTTTTAAGTGCTGAATGGCAGACTATTATGCACTATACACCATTATATATATTTATTTATTTGTTTTGTCTCAATAGATCATTGTTACATGATATAGGACAAGTCAGTTACTGTACATTGGCTGATTACAATAAGAGAATAAAGTTACAATACTTAAAATTACAATTACAGAAGACAAGTCCGTCCAATGTGACTATTTCAGTTTTCTCACTTGATGATTCACTAGCCTTACTAGCCCACAGATCCATTTGGATCATCTTCAGAGGCACCAAACACTTTTTAGAAGCCACTGTCACAACAGTTGTCATATCAAATACACATGTAATGTCCAAGTACACAATGTTCCATCTATCACTCACAGCAGCCTTTCTGGTTATAGGAATATTTAAAGTTGTTTTAAAGTTTTAGGTTTAAAGTTTTAAAAACTTTGTTAAAAATTAAAATACATAAACCATACAGTTCGTGTCAATAACCCCTGTCTCTCTTCAAGTTGGCCGATGTTGTGCCTCCAATGTAACTTGATTAGGGAGATTCTGTAAATATATTATGGGTACTGTATTAATATCAGCGATCCTACTATATATATATATAATTTTTTTAAGGTTTTTGTCCTACCTACATTACATGTGTATTTGATATGACAACTGTTGTGATAATGGTTTCTAAAAAGTGTTTGGTGCCTCTGAAGATGATCCAAATGGATTGAAACATGTAAGGCTAGTGAATCATCATGTGAGAAAACTGAAATAGTCACATTGGATGGACTTGTCTTTTGTAATTGTAACTGTTAGTGTGATGGACCAAAATGAAACAAATCAAATTCATACTTAAAATTGTTTACAGCAGATTACAGTAGATTACAATAGTTAAGATTTCATATAGTGTGAGGTGGAATCCATATTAGGTCCCCTCGGCAGGTCAGCTTACATATGTCCTATTGTACCTGTACTGGTCATAATGCTTGTGGAGAATTTGATGGAATGAGGATTGGCAGGGGAAACCGAAGTACTCTGGGAAAACCTGCCCCAGCACCACTTTGTCCATCACAAATCCCACTTGACTAGACTGCAGCAGTGGGAAGCCAGCGACTAACCGCTTAAGCTGTGGCGCGGCCTTTGAGATAATATTGGTGGATTTGGTGATAGCACTGGTATAACGTTTCACTGTAGACTCTACACTGCAACATCTCATTACATCTGTTCTCCCTTCCTGGTGCAGCTTCCTGGCATCTGCAACCTCTCCAGAGTAGCTCATTATGGTACATCTCCGACTGTGTTATCTTGGTTGCTGGAAGAAGAAAGGAAAACTGTGCAATAGTGATTCCAAAAACTGATTATTCATGAATTATGTGATTATAATTGATTAGTGTTTGTCTCACATGAGAGAAACTCATCCACTTTATAAAAACAATGATCGAATAGGCAAGTTTTCAAAGCGCTTTTGAACTTATATAGTACCGGTATTTCTTTAATATATCGTGGCAGATTATTTAGCAGTTGAAGTCCTACATTGTTAAAGTTGTTCTTGCACAGACTTGTATCGCATGGGACGATGTGCAAGTCGTCTTTTTTCCTTGTGTTGTATGAGTGTAATCCTGAGTTGGTTGTGAAATCATTCGAATTGGATTTTATGTATATTAGAGTTTCATATATGTACAAAGATGGTAGAGGTAATATATGTAATGATTTGAAAATCTGTTTACAACTAGTCGTTTTTGGGACCTGGGTCATAGCTCTCTTCTGTAATTTAAAGATAAATTTTGCATTTACAGAGTTGCCCCAGAATATCAGTCCATATGGTAACAAAGATTGGAAATGAGCATAATATAACGTGTGGACAGTCTCTAGTCCAGTCACTCTTCTAACTACCCTTAGGCAAAAACAAACGTTACATAAGTTGTTCACTAGGTTTTGCGTATCTCTTCATTCCATCAAATTCTCCATAAGCATTATCACCAGTGCAGGTACAATAGGACATATGGAAGCCGACATGCGGAGGGGGCCTAATATGGATTCCACCTCACACTATATGAAATCTTAACTCTTGTAATCTACTGTAATCTATTATAAACAATTTTAAGTATTGTAACTTTATTCTCTTATTGTAATCAGCCAATGTACAGTAACTGACTTGTCCTATATCATGTAGCAATGATCTATAGAGACAAAATAAATAAATAAGCCTAGTCCATCTTAGATGCTTATCTAGCCAGGCTCCCAGAAATTTTTGAGTGATCTGTGTAGTTGATAACTGTGTCATAAATCTTTATTGGAGGGCATTCAAGTTGTAGTTTTTGAGGATGATGGAAGGCTATTGCTATTGTTTTCTCTTTATTAATAGTTAATCGATTCCTCTCAAACCACTCTGTGGTTTTGTTTATTGTTTCATTTGTTTTCCTTTGAATTTCATTAGTGCTATTTCCTGCTATAAAAATGGTAGTATCATTGGCAAAGAACGTAGGTTTCCCATGTTCTGTGCTGGCCTTCAGGTCGTTTGTGTATAACAGAAACAACACTGGTCCAAGAACAGAACCTTGTGGGACGCCATAGGTGATGGGTCTCTTTCAGGATAGGTAATTAATGTTACGATTAGTTTTTTTGCATCTGTATTTAATTTATACTGCTTGTTCTCTGTTTTCTAAGTATGTTTGGAACCACCTTAGTGCAACCCCTCATATTCCCATTCTTTCCATCTTACTTAGCAATATATCATGATCTACTAGGTCGAACACTTTTGATAAATCCAAATATATTCCTATACTTGTTTCTTTTTCATCTAGTGCTTTGTAAACCATTTTTGTAAATTCTGTGATTGCTGTATGTGTTGATTTTCCTTTGCAGAATCCATGCTGTTCATTGCTGATTATGCTGTACTTATTTATGAATGATGAAAGTCTATTGTGCATAATTTTTTTGATTATTTTAGAAAAACCCGAAATTAATGACACTGGCCTGTAGTTCCCAACATCTGCAGTACAACCTTTCTTATAGAAGGGTTTCACTCTCGCTATTTTTAGTTGGTTGGGGAAATAACCAGATGAAAATGACAGATTTATGATGTATGTTAGAGCATTTACTAGCTGAGGATGACATTTTTTAATAATGAACTCTGGAATATCGTCGATGCCTGTTGATTTTTGTTACCCAGTGTTTTAATTATGTCTACCACCTCCCTTTCAGTGGTTGGGCTTAAGAACATGCTATTGCTGTTGTATTTTATTGTGTTGATCCTGTCTTCATTGTTTTGTGCTGTCCGATTGTTACTCCGGATGTTGGGCAGTGTTAGTATAGTATTCATTAAAAACATTGGCTATACTTTTGAATCTTGTGTAGTTCTTCCATTCACTCCTTATTCAATGTTCTGCCAAATTCTTCTTTGATTAAATCCCACATGGCTTTTGATTTGTTCCCGGATGATCGTATTCGCGTGTTGTTGCTTAATTTTTTAGTCTCACCAATAATTTTGTTGTATATTTTTTGTACTGGTTATAGTATTTTTTAAGTTCGTCAGATGTGTTTCCTTCTTTAATTAAGCTGTGAAGAGACCTATGTATGTTTCCTGGTACCCTTATGCCTAAGGTAATCCATTTATTTTTTTCTGCTTAATTTTTACCCATTTTTTTAGGCATAGCTATATTGTGATAGTACTAAAGGATGCCTAAAAATTCATTGTATGCATCATTTGCCTCATTTTATTTAAGAACAGGCTCCCAGGTCTCTCTTCCTAGTAAATAGTTTAGACATTGTACGTTTTCCTCGCTATAAGATCTAGCTAATCTGAACCCTTTAGTTATTCTACCTTGTCCTTTTTTGTTCTTATAATGCATTTGTACTTGTAGTATTTGGGCATTATGGTCAGAGAGCCCTGTTTCCACCGCTTTAAAGTTGTATTCCCATAAGCCCTTGTTTAGTATTATTTGTTCTATGGCTGTTTGGCTTTTAGGTCCTATTCTTGTTGGGACATCAACTATTGCTTGCAAGCCATATGAGTCTAGCATTGTCTGTAGTTGTGGATTAACACTTCTTTTTAGAAAATTTACATTGAGATCTCCTGCTATAGTAATGTTCTTTCCTTTATTGGTCAGATTGCTAAGTATTGTGTCCAAGTCTTTTATAAATATGTTGATATTGATTATGATAGTATTAAATTGTATAAGTTCAATTATGCTGGCCTCAAAGTGTTCTTCTTGATTTAAGCTTTCAAACAGGTTACAGGGTTTTGCATCTAGATCTCATGCAATTTATTTTTCCTACAGAAATTTGATATCAAGGAATAGTTTTCAAAGTTATAATAACCTATTTCTCTTTCATCCAACCAATGTTCAGTGATACAGAGTATATCCGATTCTAACGTTTTGTTCGATAATAGCACATCTATATTCAGCTTCTTCTTATTTAGACTTTGAACATTTTGATGTAATGATTGGATGGTTGAACCTATTTTATTAGTATTCTGGAGAGTGCCAGTACTATTCTTATCTATAAAAAATCTTTACTTAGCTTTTCTGGGAGCTTCCTTTTCCTAGTTAACATCTGAATTTCCTGATGTTGCTTTCCTTCCAGTGGTGCCACACTGTTGGGGGATGGGTTATGTACATGAGTTTAATTATGTATTACACAGGTCTGTTCTAAAGGGGCAACACCGGCAATGTCCACATGCCTGTCCTTCCTCGTCACCACCAGATGAATCAGAGCTATCATCAGAACTGTCATCACTATCACCGCCAACATGAAAGACAAACTCCCGTCCTGCGCCCAAAAGGCCTTCCCATGCTATTAATTGTTGCTCAATGTTCCTTACATGTTGACACCTACGTTGCCGTTCTTCTGCAGTTATGGGAGCCAATTTTTGGTCTGCCAGTTTAATGATGTCATCCATCTTAAATGTTTTATTGTTTTGAGCAATCCAATTTTTTATGGTGGCCCATATTAACTCAATTGGGTTGAGTTCTGGGTGATACTGAGGGAGTCGTAAAATATTGTGATTGTGTTCTGCAAAGATTCCATCTATTTTATAGGAAAGGTATTTCGGTTTGAGTGGTAGGATCATATATATGTCTGGATTCCACAATGATGAAAAATCAGTGTTATTGAAGGTAATAAGTGGACGGTGATATTTTAGCGAGGATATCATAAAATCTCTCCTTGAATTTGAGTTAGGGGCTGTGCCATAGCTCAGGCGGTTAGTCGCTGGCTTCCCACGCTGTGGCCCGGGTTCGATCCCGGGTCTGGTCAAGTGGGATTTGTGGTGAACAAAGTGGCGCTGGGGCAGGTTTTCTCTGAGTACTTCGGTTTTCCCTGCCAATCTTCATTCCACCAATTGCTCCACAATCACCCTCACCTATCATCTGGGGCTGGTACAATAGGCCAGAAGTGGCTGCAGTGCAAGGAACTTAGTCCCACCCCACTAGCAATAACAAAAAATATATGGGCTCTGTTTAGTTGTACATTATGGTAGGGAGCATTATCAGTGACATCGACGATTTGGGGGAAGGTTAGGAATAAGTCGCTCCTTTAACCATTTTTCATAATTGGTGCTGTTCATATTACTTTTCCACTCAATTTACTTCATGTAGGTGGCATGTTAAAGGAGATAGAAAAAATGTACAAATATAAATAATCAAAAAAGAAAATCAGTGATTAAAAATAAACAGTAAAATAAAATATTAATACAGTAAATAGAGAATAATACACCCAAATACAACTCCAAGAGTCAAAACTTTTTAACTGAACTTGAGATGTCTGCTCATACTGAAAACAGACGAATGTCTAATCACAACAACCCTCAACTTTCATGAATGGACCTGCCCATCCACTGCACATCTTTGCCTGGACTGTCACTTCGGTCACTTCTAAACACTACAACTGTAGGTCGATTAAAAAAAATCCAATGACCTCATCGGGACTTGAACCCACAACCTTCCGGTTTGCAGCATACTGCCCCAACCAACTGCGTTACCACATGTATGAAGACAATGTAGTGATTCATATTAAGTTCAGGATGAAAGTATTTTCTAGTACAGTTAACGGCAGTTATTCCATACATTTGAATTCATCATCTGCTTGTTACAGGGGTTCAGTGTGTGAAAGATTCGTAGTTTAACCGTTGTTAAGGGTTCAGTTAGGTAATGTTATATTTGTTATGGTTTTTGCCAGGGCGGATAGTATTCTGACAGTGTTGAGTGTGGCTGTAGACGATGTTTGGATTGGTGAAAGAATTTATTGACCAGTTATACACTTACACACGTGCTAATCTCCACACTTCACAGATCACCACAGCACCCACTAAGCGTTTTCCAGGCTGCTGTGTCTTCTCCAGTCTTTCCATGGCAACGGCTTGTAACAGTAGAGTTTCTGCAGCTTCACGCCTTCAAGCCCTTCCTTGACAGACTCCCATACAGAACTGACTTGGTGACCCCAGTTGTCTCCAGGATAACCCCTCGGCATGGACCATGTAGAAACACCCCGTTTCTAACAGTGCCTCAGTTCCTTGCTTTGGGAATGCATCAATCTAGCTGCTGCCCAGAAATATCCCTGGCACATTCGCCCGTCTCTCTGTCATCACATAGTCATGGCTTTGCATGCTCAGTATTAAATCCATAAAGCCTCTTCTTGCAGTGTGGTAGCTGTTAAAGCGCCTTTGAGGTTCTCATACATGTTCTCATGTTAGTAAATGTGAAATGTGAGCAGTTTCGTGAGACAGTGGAACACTTGATAGCAAGATGTCCAGATCAAACAGAGGAGGAGCATGCAAAATATTATGACGAGGCCTGCACACAATTGCATTTCAATGTCTTTAAACCACTAGCAGTGAATGTGGAAAGGTACAAATAGAGTCATGTACCAAAACCAGTCGAAACAGGTCACGATAATCAAGTCACTGTACTTTGGAATGAACATATTATAACAGAACCATAGCTTGCAGCAAACCTGACATTGTGTGTCAAGAGAACAAAGGAAGAAGGAAGGGTACTAGAATATTTTAATTGAAGATCAGAATAAAAATTGAAATAAAGCTAAGTATACAACTCCAGAATTGTAGTCCACAGGCTAGATTGGATGGCTTTAAGCATTTAAAGCCTGAAAAGTTCTTGTATGTAATATTTAAAAGTCCACTTGCACCTCACAGGAAACACATCTCTATTACAAGTACCAGGCAGCTAATACTGTTTAGGGAAATGATCACTATTTATTCTCAGAATCATATGTTACACATAAATACGTTTTCAGGCAAAATGCAGAATGTTTTTCCATGTCAAAGTAGTTGGTATGTGTAAGAAAGACTGTGCTTTAAATGGTTAAAGAAGTCATATGAAATTAAGACCTTGGCCCTGTTTGTTTCAGGTAACAAGTTTCATTTATAAGGGTGAATCATTGCCATGTCTCTTCAGGAGAATGTCACAGAAGAAGATCTGATGCTCAACATTTTAATTGATGAAGGTATTGAATTAGACGCCCCAGCAAAAAGTCATTGTTCACAGAAACGAAAAGCAGCTGATCTGGAGTGTGAGGATAATTTGAAGGAGAAAAGAAGTTTGGAGAGGGTATTTAATGTGCTGTATATTGTTAATGTTATAGACATAAACAATAAAATGAGGATATGCCCATATTTATATCTGTGTGTTTCAGCTCCCAAACCTTTTGATGGATTTGGATGAAATGTGGTATGAGACATCTACAGTAGAAGTTCTTGGGCAATTTTACATTTTTGTTGACAGAAATAAGAATAAGGATACAAATTATTATGGTCTTTTGACTGTTGTTAGAAGAGTATTCTGTATACTTTGTAATTTTGTATTCTGGTATTTGCCTTCTTACTGTTAAGCATAATTTTAAATAAATTGAAATTAGCTACTGCTGCCATTGCAACTTTCTCATTGTTATATATATATTGTCACGTGTTGGGTATGTCATGCGACAGATAACTTCACGTGGTTCTCAGATTTAGCAACTCTTTATTGGACACTCAAACTTATACACCATACAGTTATTATCGCTTACGATACAAGACACCATTCGCCAAGGTTCGATCTCACTTCTTCGGCAATCCGTTGCTTCGGGAACGATCTCTATAGATTACGGCGGTAACGTGTTTCATCTCATCCGTTTGTACTCTACGGCCTTCTGTTGTTCATCTCTGGGGAAATACATTCATTGTTTCGGCAATGTCTGTGCAGCGCCCACTGTTATTGCGTTGCCATGGAAGTATCTACTCCAAACACGTTACAGTATATATATTTACGCGCGCGCGCACACACACACACACGCATTCAGTTATTTATATGCCTTGTTGAAAATTGGTATTTGAATAGAAATGGCACATCTCAAAATGTGTGTATTGTACATGCTTTTTTCATGTACCGTGCATTTTTTTGTACAAATAGATGTTTTCGAGAAATTTGACGCAGTTCAGGTGTCTTGATGTAAATTATGTAAGAACTGTGTAGCAGGGTCATGTTCTTGTTACGGAGGTGGGATTTTAACTCATCAGTAGTTAGGTAACCAACCGTGGAGCTGAGTCCATTAGAAGCCTAGAGTTGCCAAGCTGCTCAAGAATTTCCCAACATTTTATGGAGGACAAATGTTCATTGTCATGTTCACAGGACCCCTCCACTAGTTCATATCCTCAGCCAGATGAATCCAATCCATACGACCTCATTCAGTTTCTCCTTCATCCATTTTAATATTATCCTCCCACTTGGTGTCTTTCCATATGGCTTTCCCACTACAACCCTGTATGCATTCCTCTCTTCTGTTCATGTTACACACCTTGCTAATCTCATCCTCATTAATATGGATCATTCTAATTATATTTGGTGAAGAGCACAAGTTATGAAGCTCCTCATTATGCACTTTTTTCCAGTCTTCTGTTGCCATATCTTTTGCATCCAGATGTTCTCAGGACCCTGTTCTTCCCTTATTGTGAGGGAAAATTATACTTTTGTGTGTTTTAATGTATGTTTTTAGATAACAGTTAAGACAGAAGGTTCTGATCTGAATGGCAGCAAGCATTACCATAAGTTAAACTGCTCTTTATTTTCTCATGAATCAAATTTTGATTTGTTACTGTTGTTTCCAACAGTTTGAACTTTGCCACGTTTTCAAAGGATCTGATAGCTATTTCTGTGTTATGATTTTGACCTGCATTCTGGTGACAAGATGCCAACATACTTGTACATATAGACATATTTTTCTCTGTTTTCTTCTAGAGCAGCCTCCTTATAAGCATCTGTATTTTTTTATGGCATTCATAGTATTTCCCCCTCATTGTCTTTACTTTAACATCATAGACCAGAAGCTGATTTGTCCCATTCAGTTTCAGTCCACTCTGATATACTTGGACCTTCTTAATGGCATATTCTAAATCAGTGTCAATAAAGCATCTTCTTGCTAGGCAAGTGTTTAACTATACTGACTTTTTTTAATTTAGTTTCTTGGGGTGGCTGAGACTGAGTCCACTTGGTGTGTTAGCCACTAACTGGCCTATTGTACCAGATCTGGACAGTAGATGATGAGTGTGAAGCAGTCAGTGGAATGAGAATTGACAGGGGAAACCAAAGTACTTGTAGGAAACCTGTCCCATTGCCACTTTATCCACCACAAATCCCACCTGACATAACAAGGGCTGTCACGATGGGGAGCTGGCAACTAACCACCTGAGCTATGGCACAGCCATAGCATTGGTACAGTAGTAGACTCCTTCCATTGCTGAGGCAGTTTTTCCTTATTCCTAATAGAATTAATGAGTTTAAGGATTTCAGAGTGTAGTGTTTCACTTCCTCCTTAAATCATTTCTGCTCAAATTTGATCACTATGAGGTGAGTTATTCCATTTCAAATTTGTAATAGCAGTTTCAGCCTCAAAATGACTAGGATCATGTATTAACAGCTCAGCTCTATGTATTTCTATCTGCCTAATATCACTGCCCCTATGTACATTCAATAACTGCAAGAAGTAGTACTTCCACATATTCAAAGTGTTGCGAGAATCTGCAACAGATCACCATTCTGATCATTCACTAAGTTACATATAGGTTGGTAACTCCTCTTAAATTAATTTATTCCTTTCATTCATTCATTTATTTACATTCCATGGATCCTTACATGGCTGGAAGACCAGTGGATATAGAAATAGTCAAAGACAACGGATAAATCCCATGTTATATAAATAAAAATTAGTTGTACTTAATCCATAACAGTTACACATATTATCCAAGACAAATCACAATGAGTAAATCATTAAAACAGTTATAAAATATATATGTAAAAGAATGCAACATACTAATATGACACAAGACTACAATAATGAAACATAAAAATATACTACTAAGCATCCATTGTGTAACAGACCAAGATCGTTAATTAATATTGAAGTTGAAATATTCCTCCAATGAGTATAGTGAATTTAAGAGTAGAAATCATGTTAAAGCACATCTAAATTGTTTTGTATTATGAGCTAAGTTCTTTATGCTAGAAGGAAGATTATTAAAAGCTTTGATTCCAAAGTAATATGTTCCTTTTTGAAATACTGTTAAATTACATATTTGATAATGGAAATTGTTATTGTTTCTTCTATTAATGCTACAAATCTCAGAGTTATATTTAAAATGTTCTCTGTTTTTACCATAAATAGTAAGAGAGAAAATATATGCTGTGATTGGAAGATTGATTGATTCCCGTGACATATAAGGTTCTATAGCCCTGATTGCATAACTGGCCAAACCTAATTTAGACATTAGCCCGTTGATATGTCTTTTCCATCATATTGTTGATAATTAATCCAAGAAATTTGGTGTTAGTAGATATAGCAATGTGATTGTTTCCATAGTCAGTGTTCATATCCACTTGATAGCTGTTCTTAGTCAAAAATTGTATGTTTCATCAAAATTTAGTGTCAATAAATTAGCTTTAAACGAGTCATTTATGTTTTTAAATGTTTGAATAATATCGTTTTTATCATCTAAAGGGCTAGAATTTGTGATAATTATGCTGGTGTCATCTGCAAAAAGAACAGGTTTGGAATGACTAATTATAATATTTGGCAAGTCATTTATATATGAAGGTCCCAGTATTGATCCCTGGGGAACACCATTATTAACTTTGCCCCATCTGGAATGAATATGCCAATTATCTGTTACAACCCTTTGGTACCTATCTTTGCGATAGGATTTTATCATGCATTGGCCTTACCAACTGTTCCATACAGTTCTAGTTTAGGAAGTAAAATGTCATGATTGACACAGTCAAAAGCTTTCTTCAAATCACAGAAAATGCCACTGACTAATATTTTGTTATTCAATGCATTTAATATTTCATTAAATCATTTATGTGAGGCAATTCTGTAGATGAATTACTCCTAAAACCATATTGTTCATTTGCTAATATGTTGCTGCTCATTATATGTTGGTTCAGTCTTGCATATATAACCTTTTCAACAACTTTTTAAAATGATGTCAGGAATGATATAAGTATATATAGTAGTAATAGTCATATTAGTTTTATCCCCATTTTTAAATAATGGTTTCATTTCTGAATATCTAAACCAAGTAGGGAAGACACCAGTTGAAAGAGATCTGTTACAGATACAAGTTAATGGGGAGCTAATGAAAGGTGTGCTGATTTTTAAAATTCTAACCTGGATTTCATCATAACTAGGGCTCGGATTTCTATGACCTAAAAACTTTGAAAATGTGCATGCATTTATGCCCTAAAAATGGCAAAATATTACCTAAAGTATGACAGAATGGCCCACAAAAAATAAGTAAATATTTAACAAAAATTCCTAAGAATGGCAATTTATTAAGAAGTTTACAAAGTTATTTTGTCCTGAATAAATATCTTTAAGCTCTGAAGCATCGATCACAGCACATTGCTGACCCCATAAAGAGAAAAGCTGAATGGCGTTTTATTGAAAAGTGTACAAAGTTATTTTTTCTGAAAAAATGTCTTTTAAGCCGTGAAGCATCCATCACAACACAATGCTGACCCTGTAAAGAGAAAACATGAACGAAAGTATTGTTTAGTTTAGCGTAAAAAGTAAAGTAAAGTAAAGTGTGCCAATAGTTGCAGGTAAAAAATTTGTACGGTACCTTAATCTTCCTTTTCAGTAGAGTTGCACTGAATGACAACATGCATTTTCAAATTCTCGAACTTGAAGGACCTCCGATTGTCACTAACAGTGGCCTTGTATTTGGAGAAACTCCTTTCTACGCCGCAAGATGTCACAGGGGCATACTTAAAACAAGTCAAGTTCTAATTCACTGTTGTCAAATTCAACTTCTTTGCCACAAAGAATGTCAGAAATTGTACACAGTGTTGAATATCCAGGACTTCGTTGGAGCACATTTTGTAATTTTGCACTAATTTTCGCAGCAACTTCGCCCTGTGCTTGATGTAGTTCACTTTCAACTTTCTTAACAATTTGTAATGCATTGCACAGTTGCATGCCCACAGCTTCAAGTCTAATGATGGATTTTGATATCACACTGAAATTTGATTTTATGTACGCTAGATTTCTTGACGTGGTTGATGAAAACAAATTTTGTACAGTTCGAATTGAAGATGAATCATCTCTGTCAAACTTCATGAAGATATTTTCAATCACACTGTAGTGTGTGCAATAATAATCTGCAGCATCGAGCCAAGTCCCCCATCGTGTTAGAATAGGCTTAGGGGGAAGGGGTAGTGATGGAGCCTCTTCTTTAAACTTCTGCAATCGAAGTGGAGCCTTAACAAAAATTTTCTTCCCATTTGCTATTAATTTATCTACATCAAAGTAGCTCTCTCGCACCTCTTCTGCTACCCTATGCAGAGCATGTGCGAGACACGTTGCATGAATCATTTTGGGATACAGTACCTGAAGTCCCTTTGCTGCCTTTACCATATATGGAGCGGCATCCGTTAAGAAGAGGAACACTTTCTCCTGTTCTACCTTATTTGGCCACAGCAGATTCATCGCATTGTCGAAAACAACAGCAATGGAAGAATTATTTACTTTTTCCAACACCTCACATGCCAATAGGAATATATCTCGAAGCTGGTCATCTTTCAGTATACCAACAACAACATTCGCTACAAATCTACCACTTACGTCAGTAGTTTCGTCACTAGACACCCATATTTTATTATTTCCGACACAGTTTCTTATTTTATTGATGGTAACATCTTAGCAGGAAGTGGGATAGTTCTTTCTTAATGTGGATTCGGTCGGAATGGGATGAGTTGTATATTTTTCGAGGAAGTTGAGGAAACTATGTGTATCTACTTTATGTAATGGAATATTTGATGAAACCATCGTAGTACAAAGATCCTTTGAAAACTCGGAGGCATTTCCTGATTTCGGTGAACTGGAGGATGACTTTTCAAACAAAAATCGCTGTCTACTTTCTGTGGTAATTTCTCTGTTTACAGAGCTTCTATGTTTAGCTGTATTGCAGTGTTGTTGAACCGTAAAACGTTTGTCTGCCATAACTTTCACTTCACACACTTTGCAAAATAAAATTCACCATCAGTACTAAAATATTTGTCATCAAACTCTTTAATAAAACCACGCAACTTCACGCTATTAGAGCACTTGACTTTAGGCATTTTGAAACTATACTGAACAACTGAAGTTATGAATACAGTACTGTATTGGACTGGTTTCGGGGAGAGGGTAAAAATTTACTGCTTTGTGGATGGAAAAATTTTTCACCAATATGCAAGAAACAAACTGGACTTCAGGTATCACTGCAGTGGAGGAGAAAAAGAGACGCAGACAGACAGAGGCAGAGGTGGCAATTTCTCTTTTCAAAGTGGTTGATTGTATGCCAGGTCAAGAACCNCAATTATACATGCGAAAAGATGCCAGGATAAAAATATGACATGTCATAGAAATCCGAGCCCTACTGATCAGGTTTCCTATTTTGTGGGTACCCAGTGTCCAGTCAATAACCTCCTGCCTATTGCAAACCACAGGTAGGCTCATTACCTTGGTTTAGAATATTAAGGTTCAAATTCACCGAATATTCCATGAGGCATTCTCCTCTTGGGTTGATGTCACTGCTTCCCCACAATGTGTGGTGTGCGTTGCCATCACACCAAGTGATGAGCTGCTTTTTCCTAAGATGGCAATATTCAACGGTGTCCCTCACTTCTTTGGAAGGTGGTGGTTCGTCCGAGTCATATGGAAGGTAGACTGAAGTGACGATGAGTTCCTCACAGCCTCCACCCAATGTGTATGTTATCCTTACCATTATTGTGTCTCTGGAACAGAACTCCAGCAAGGGTAAAGCATTAATATGATTATTAACATATGTGCATGATCTCACATTTTCTCCAGGTACTACAGAGTAGACTGTTCCCCCTAATTTCGTTAAGCCTCTTATTTGGCCCCTATATATCCAAGGTTCCTGAATAAGTGCTGCGTATACTTTTCATTTAGCAAGTTGTCAACATAAAAATTGTCATAGCAGCCTTGCTGTGGTGTAGATTAATTTCAATGAATCGTACTTTATATGTAAATGTCGTGTGTATGTATGTATGTTGTGTGTTCATTCTGTAATGCTGGGAAAGGTGTCCTCCTAAATACCTTCTTCCACAGCCCCTTTTCCTTTATCAGATCTGCTTCCCTCTGAGGGAGGTCCCTTATCTGGTAAGGTCGGGTTGACGAGAGGAGGGATTGTCTCCCCATCAGATATGCTCTTCTGGTCAACTGAGGGGTCAACGTTGGCCTCTTAAATGTACCGGTGGGGGTTTCTCCCTGCTTGGACGAGCCTGCATTTCCTGGTTGCTGACTGTCCCCAGTTCCTGCTTTGCTTGCCCCAGCTCTCGTCTTTTTCAACTTCCGTCTAGCGCATCCAGACAAGGCATTTTTTCACTAAACGGAGTTCACTTACTCCAATGACTAGGTTTCCCAATCTTTCTCCTACTACAGGTGTGCTAGAGGTACTAGCCCCCTATAGTGGTATGTCGGTACTACTGACTCCCAATAGAGTTCTTGGTTTTACCTCAGGTAGGTTTTGAACCACGGGTTCATCCCTGCCTTTTGGTGAAAATTCAACAGCAGGTTCACTGGTTGCACCTGGGTCCCTTAGTGGTTCACCAGAGCTTCCAGCCCCCTGCTGAAGCATTTCTCGTAGGGATCCCCTTGGAGGGGGTTCCCTCTTCAGTTTAAGGTCCTTATGACTGTTTTTTTTTTTTTTTGGGTGGAAGGCATAAATGCAACGGGGTGTTGCTTGGTGCCCTGAGGGGATTGTTAAAGACACTGGCTAATTACCACCCCAGTGCCATGCAGCCCTCAGCATGATACCTCACACCTTGGCTTAGGTGGTTTGGTCCTATAGTAAATGAAACCCTCACAAGCCTCCAGGACCAAGAGTGCCTGTTCGGGGGTAAGAGGGGTATCCCAGATGATTAATGGGAGTGTGACACCAGTTAGTCATGAGGTTGTGACCAGGGCAACCTACATGAGAGAGTCACCCCTGGGGCTAGCTTATGAGCTCCCCCATTCCCACCCCTCCACATGGGTTGGTCAAACCGTTTTAGAGTGTTGACACCTTATCGGTACTCTAGGGAGACAACTCAAATAGCTGAAGCTACCCCCATAGGAGTGCTCTCCCACATTCGTCTCGGGTACAACGTAATGACACCCAAGAGTCATTATGCCACTGCATGGGAGGCTCTGGTCGTATATCTGTCGCCCTTTATGGGAACTTTGCCGTCAGCCCTGGAAAGTCATTCTGATCCTGATCCAGATCCCAAGACCGTTGTTGCCCGGCGGGACCATGAGGAGGTGTCCCAACGTATCCCTGGTCCATGATGCATCCCCACCAAAGACACCGCCATGGTTTGGCCAACCTCACCGAGGATGGCATCATCACCACCTGTAACATGTGACATAAAAACAGATACCTCGGGATCAAACCTGGGCCACCTCCACCAAGTATTACCAGCATAATCATATTAAGGGGGATGGTGAGAAATACATTCAAGATGTTTCTTTAGAAGCCTGCTGGGAAGAGATCAGGTGGGAGACAGGGATACATGGGGATAATGTTCGACTGGATCTCAAAGAAATGGCTCTTGAAGATGCTACTGGATTCATCAAGCTCAGTTCCAGTGGCTCAAAATTATGAACACTGTAATGATCTGAGTTTGATAAATGTCAAGGATGTCTTCATTAATTCAGTGGCTACCAGCTATTAAAAAAGGACTGCTTCATGGAGTTAGCTCAATTCTTAGGTGCATCATCATTGCCCCCATATGTTCAATTATCAAATTACTGTGGTTTTTGGAACTAGTATACTGAGGAATAGGACAAAACATTAGTAATGTCAGTATATTAAAGCAAATGTGCCCCCCCCCCCATATATCAGAAGGCATATGTGACTGACAATTACTATATCATGTTTCTTTCTGCAAGAACTTTCGTCTTCTTTGTACTCTGTACATTTTGCACCCTGTGTTTATAAGCTTGGATATTGTTCTGTGTATAGGATTCAGAGTCCGCAAATAGGTATAGAAGAAAGAGAAGGAGCAAGAAACATCTTCATGTACGTGACTTGGGAGGAAAAGCTATGATTCCCAGACCAAATTATTTTGTGGGAATTCAAGTTTCAAATCCTGAGGTACATTGTGAGCATTACTGTTTAAGTTTAATTGAATGGATGTACAGTAAAATCCCAATTTGTCACTTTTTATGTGGGACAATGATTTCAAAATTGAATTGAGGTATTGAAGAAAACATCAGAAAGGGAACTGTTTCTAATGAAAATTGAGAGAACTATTAGTCTGGAAAGCATTAAGTACAGATTTTGCTGCATGTTAAGTAGAGTTTATAAAATTTATAGAGATTAGCATGCAACCCTACCTAATATTGTGAGGTATACTCTTAAATTTGCTTCATTATTCTCCATATCTTTACATTTGATTGCACATTATATAATCTTAGCAGTGAAAGGGTGTTTTAAATAACCTACAATAAGTAAGAATTGCTTATCTCTGTAATAACTACTGAATAAATTGTTTGATTTGTATGAAAATCAACAAAAGGTAATGCTCTGATATTAGGAAAATATTGTTGAATTAAATTTATTGCTCAAGATTTGGAGTTCTGATGACATGGAATATTAAGACTGTGTTCTTCTGGGATATGATGCTGTATAGTTTGCCTTCAGGGATGAACTGTATGTTCCTCCAGAATGTTGGTAACCATGTACCAGACCATACAATGTCATACCTGAGAAGACCACAGATTTAATTTATTGTTTTAGTATAAGCTGCATTCCAAAAACACCGCAGTTACAAAATAAATTAAAGAGTGCGTGAATTCATGTACTGAGCAAGAGGCATATGGTGTCATTTGTTTCTTGGAAAATGAAAGTTACAAACCCACAAATATTTCTTGCAAAATGAAGTCCATACATGGTAATATTTACTTACCTGCTGTAGGATTTGAGGATTTCACAGTGGTGGTTATGAAGATTTCTGTTATCTTGGATATAACATCATGTAGGCTGTTGAAGGTCAACTAATGTTTCAGGGCAACATGTCACTGCTATCTTCAGGGTCAAAGAATAAGCGAAATAAGAAACCTGCTCGTCACCTGCTTTCATGCCAGTTTCTTGTATGGATGATTCTTTGACCCTGAAGCTGGAAGTGACATGTTCCTCCAAAACGTTGGTTGACTTTCAGTGGACTACGTGCCATTATATTCCAGAAGATAGAATTCTGCTTATGTTTTGATCATGTCTGTAAATGGATTCAGATGTTTAAGCATGGTATTCGAGACATGGCTGATGCTCTACTGCCAGACCATCGCATCATGCTGATGTTCCATATAATAGTGAGGAAGCAGATTGATTTTGAGAAATAATGGAGTAGTCTGATATAGTAAAGAAGGGTGTTAGTTTGCAGTTATGTATCTATAAGCAGACTCAACTAGCATCTGTTGAGCTAAGTTCCTGTTAAATTATAATATGCAAATTAATTTACTCTTATATAACTGGCAGGTTGAGGACTGAAAAGTATGGAATGCTGGTTACTTGAGCAATATGTTTTTAATTGACACAAAATAGAATGACACTTGTGAGTTATTTGGTCAGTGGCTGGTGACATCAGGCAACCAATCCATCAACTTAATACTTCTCCAGAGATCAGCATGACAGTACACCTACTTGTTCAACTCTCCATCCCTGCAAAACATATATGGCAAACGACTTTCCATTATAAGTCAGTTGTGCATTTTACTATAGCTGCAGTTATTCACAGATTGCTTCACACAACCTCATACCTCCTACTGCCTTATAAAATTCAGAGTCTTCAAATAAAATTGCTCTGCTGAACTTCTTTAATATGTAACTTCCATCTCTGACCCACAATGTACCTTTTCTTATGCCCTTTCTTATATGATGCAGAAAAAGTGAAATTTCATGTTCTTTGATGTTAAATTTGATGTAGAAATTTATTATCATGTGGTATGCAGAAAATGTGGAAGTCTGGCAGGAAGTTTGACGTGAATATATGTTGTAATTAGAAATGAGGTTCTGATATTTGAGGTCTGGCTGATCTGGAAACTTAAGAAGTTCAGAAATATTTTAATAGTGAGAGATAGATTTTTATTAATAGAGCCATTTAGATTTTATGCATAACTCTACAAACTAAAGTATAGTGATATATTGTAGCTTATTTTATCCAGATCCATCATGTGGTAAAAAGAATACAAGAGGCAATACTTCGCAAAGAGCCAGCTCTGTGTACTGCAGTGGTACCAGTGCCCACGCTTCACATAACATTAGCTGTGGCACACTTACCAGATATAGAATATATTGGCAGGTTAGCTCTTACTGTTTTTGAGGTATGTATTTGCTGTAAATCAGGTAAGATCATCTTTGTCATTTACTTACAGCAAAACGTTGGTTGACTTTCACAGGACTGCATGGCATTATGTCCCAGAAGACATAATTCTTCTTAGGTATATTTAATTTTTCAGGGCTGCTGAGGTGGTAGACAAGTGTGGCTCTATCCACAGAGAATTCTTCAATAAGTCTGCTTCTTTGCATTTCAGTGGTCTGAAGACATTTTCAAATGAGGTAACATTGTGTTCTCTTCAATTCATCTTCACTGTTTAGTTGCTAACATAATTATTCCATGGTTCCCAGTTACCATTATGTAATTACTTCACATAATAAAAACATTTTACAATGTAAGATTATTTTTTAAACAATGTAATGATATTTATGTATATATGTCTGCCGGAAGCATGACATGCTGTTGCCTGTGTTTATGTACATGTAACCTTAGGTAAAAGCATTTGCCACTTACCTGAAGCTCCTAATTATCATTCTACATTACTACTATTCTGTCTTAATTCCTCACCTTCAACACTACTTTCATCACTATCACTGTCCATTCTCTCTAAACTTACAGTAATGGTGTCAGTATTGTTATCAGCAGTTGTATCATATTCCTTGTTTTTTTATATGTTCACATGGTGCTAGCCAGTCTTCTTTTCCCATGGTCTTGAATTTTTCTTTGTACAGGATGCATTTCAGGATGTGACTTGGTCTTTCAGTTGTTGGATATGTTGGATTATGTTCAGAGTGACAAAGTGTGAAGTGAAACTGAGCACATGTAATGCTGTTATTCTGTCTCATTAGTTTTAGTAGTCTCCTTTAAGTTTTAATTTCAGTGACTCAACTGTAAGGACACATGTCTTTGTAATATAATAATTATAAGCTATTTTCCAGCCTACTGCTTTGTCAGGTTCATAAATCCAGAAATGGTCTTTTGTGTGTGTGTGTGTTTTTTGTTTTATAACGGTCTTTCTGCTCTGATGTAGTTGTGGCCATGTCATGAGAAGCACTTTGTAATTGAACTTCTGATGCTAAGTCTCATTTTTGGTGCACACTTTTTAACTGAACTACATTCATAGTCTTGTAAGATTTGAGGCTTTCACGGCGGTGANTCATAGTCTTATCTGATGTCGTTAATATGCTTATTACTCACACTCACTCTGTTAGCACTGCTGAGGATTGATCACTCTCTGTCTTCCCAGATCCTTCATCAACAGATCGTAGAAGAAGAGGACAGGAGTTATTTGTGGGCACCAGTAGATAAGATATGCTTACACAGTTTAGGGGTAAAGGGTGGAAGGGAATGGGTGAAGGTCGGTAGTCGGTGAGGTAGAGATGAGATTCCTTCTCAGAGCTTAATGAGCCTTGTTTTGACAAGACAGTAGAACACACTTTTATTACACCTCATTCTTGCAAAGAACTATCAGTTTTATTATATTCACTGATTGGATTACACTGGTTGTCGCTTGGTTAAGCTGTCAGTCCTTATAGGTTGGCCCGATGAGTACTAGCTATTACATTACATACAGGCATACCACTGAGTGACTCAGAGTTGCGTCTGTGCTGCACTAGAATTAGCAGAAGACTCCTATTGGAGGGTGCCACTCGAAGTCACCAGCTCCTGCAAGTCATCAGTTTCAATCGACATTGCTTTCCTTAACTTAGCTGGGTTGGTTAACTTTAAAACTTGTGGTTCGCAAGATCTATTGTTTCAGCCAAAGGAATCTGTTTGTTAAGTTGTGACACTACCTCCATTCAGAAACAAACTCTAACTGTATTGATGGCTTGAGTATGCTTTGCGTGGGTAGTTTATCAAAGCTACACAGCTAGTTGTTGCTGCTTTAGTTTCATAGTGCACCTTTTCACTGATTACAGTGTTAAAATTCTTAGAAGTAATATAGGTGCAGCAATGAATCAGCCAATTTTGCAACGCTGAATACAGTCAGTTGTTGGGTAGTATGAAGAATGCTGCTACCACCATCTTGCAATCGCTGATTTACCATTCATTTATGGTGGGATTGTGGAATGGTGCACATCGGGCATTCACTGTGAAAGCTTATTACAAGAACAACGATAGTTACATGTCAGCGCAGCATTTATTTCGGAATCATTTTAATATTCCACTTAATGATCCTGTGCCTTCTGCCATACAATCAAAACATGGATTAAAAATTTCAAGGAAATGGGCTCTACATTGAAGAAAAAAATTGTAGCGTAAAAAATGTGCGTATACCAGGTTGCCAGAGTGAAGGGTGCTCTACAAAGAAGTCCTACCAGTTCAGCTTGCTTGCACACAGTGTCGCTTGGCATTTCTCATCGTAGTGTAAGGAGGATTTTACACAAAGATATCCACTACCATCCATATAAGATGCAGATAGTGCACACACTGAAGGATGTTGACCACATGAACCAACTTGCTTTCTGTCAGCAGTTATTGAACATGATAAATGAGAATCCAGATCTTGTAAGCAATCTTTTGATGAGTGATGAGGCTCATTTCCAACTTTCAGGCTTTTGTCAGTAAGCAAAACTTTCACTGTTGGTCAATTGAAAACCCTCAAAAGATTCCCTAAAAAGCCACTCCACAGTGTGAAAGTGACAGTCTGGTGTGCCATCTCATCATTTGGTATTGTAGGACCTTATTCCTTTGAGGACCAGTGTCAGATGTACAGTTATAGTGAATTCACATTGCTATGTTAGCATGCTCAAAATCTTTCTTGGGCCTCAATTAGCTTGTCATGCTGTTAATGAGGACACATTTTTTCAACAAGATGGTGCTATGAGCCACACCACAAGGGTTTCCATGAATGTTGTCAGGAATTTCTTTCCTAATCATGTCATCTTGAAGAACTGGGATATACTGTGGCCCACCAGATCACCCAATCTGTCGCCGTGTCATTTCTTCCTTTGGGGGTACTAAAAATCACGCATCTTTGAACCGCCAACCCCACGCAACATCCAGGAGCTTAAAGAACAGATCTTGGAAGACACGGCTCGAATTCTAATGGCCATGCTGCACAATATGGTGACTAACCTATGCACAAGACTGACAGTGTATGAACCAAATCAGTGGAGTTAATCTTTGTGATATCATTTTTTAATTGTAAGAATTTTATTTTTACTTAATGTATGTTAAACAGTAAAGCAATACATTTTTACTTCCTTATGGCATATTCATAATTGCCCGATTCATTGCCGCATCCTGTATATCAAGAATGAACACATGTTGCTGTTACATGCAAAAATGGAATTATATCCAAAATTACATTATAGATAAAAATTAATTAATCAATTAATACGTGACATATATAGCACCTGGACATAATGATCAGTTATAGTTGTTGAGGGTTTCAAATGAAGTACCTTTGCTATATTCAAGTTTTCTGCCTTCTGTTTTATTCATTATGTACTATTGCAAGATATGCCTGTAGCCTCTGCTTTCATAGAATGGAATAGTTACTGCCTACCCTACTGCTCTCTGGAAATTGCCCACACCACGAACTCCCCACCTTTTATTATATCAGACCACACTCCTTGTAGTATGGAGGGGCACCACCATATCCGTGGATGCCATTGAGGGCTCTGACTTCTTCAGTACTTTATTTGAAACAGTTAGGAGGTATATTCTTAATATCACAATCTGAAGAGTTCTGTCTTCTGGGATATAACATTGTGTAGTCTGCTGAAAGTCACCTGATGTTTTGGAGGAACGTGTCACCTCATCTTCAGGACCAAAGAATAAGCCAAGCAAGAAACAGCATGAAAGCAGGTGGCCAGAGGTTCCTTGCTTGGCTTGCTCTTCAACCCTGAAGATGGAGGTGGCATGTTCCTCCAAAACATCAGTTGACTTTGAGCAGATTGCACAACATTATATCCCAGAAGATAGTACTTTTCATAATCTCAGAACCTCAGATCCTACAATATCACAACTTACCTTCCAGTAGCTCCCTCTTTATATCCTTGGTGTCTGGAGAGGCCCAGTTATCGGAAGATGTATTAGACATACCAGACCCACTCCTCTGCATCGTGGCAGACAAATGCTTATCAGTGATGTGGCTAGCTATACATTCCATTCAGAAGTGATGGAAAAAATGGTTGTGATGTTTCAATATTTGTGTCACTTTGTTTTTCATAAATATAAATGTATTGCTTATTACTTTCTATTTATGACTTTATATGAGGGTTATTCGGAAAGCAACCTCCGTTTATTTTAGAGCAATTAATGTAGGAGTTGGAAAGAGCTCGTGCATGTGAAGTAGCATCACATGACTCTCATTATCTTGTAAACCATCATGCAACTGGTCATCTACTGTTTAGCGTTTGTTCCTAATGTTGTTCCCAGTATTTAAGGTTTTCTGAGTGGTATGCAAGTATAAGGTTTGTCAGGATTACATTAACAGCTGAAAACAGAGAGGTTGAATAGAATAGTATTTTGTTATGACAGTAATGGGCACGTGATGAAATATGCTGGCACTCTTCAATTATTGTACCTAAGGATGCCTTGGCTCACTGCAATGCTTGTGTGCCCTTTCTCACTTTAACCCCCTCTACAGGGTTCTGTCATATGTGGGGAGGGGAGAGTAGGACCACACAGTAATTTGTTTAGTCTATGCACTGGCTGACTAGATGCTGCAAGCCAGTCCACAGCTTTGAAAGAATATTTAAAATGCCTTTCTTAACTACAGAATACATGTGACCATCACACAATTACAATCGTGCACCCCTTCCACGTATGCAACACAACAGAGTGAGTTATGATGCGTCCTGCAATTGATAACCCCAGCAGCTGCAAAATTGCACTGTTATCCGCTTTCTTCATGCTAAAATTGTGAGTACTGTGGAAATTCATCCTGAATTATGTGTGTTTTATGACCAGAATGTAATGAATGAAGAAACTGTAAGATAGTGGTGTACAGGAAATGTTCATGATGAAGAACAACGTATTCAGCCATCTGCAATGAGTGATGATCTTGTTCAGAGTGTTGATGAAACAATTATGAAAGAGGAGGCTTCACAATTTCAGAACTTTCATATGAATTTCCACAAATTTCATGCACTTTTCTCTATGAGATTATCATAGGCCAGGCTATCACAAGTTTTGCCAAGATGGGTTCTGAGAATGCTGATGGGTGCGCAAGAAACACAGAGAATGGCTTCAGCTTTGACTTTTTTAGAAAAATCCCATAAAGAGGGAGATGAATTTTTCAATCACAGTGTGCAAGTCACAGATGAAATCTGGGTTTCATTTGTGGGCAGTCAAAGCAGTGGATGTACACACATTCACCAAACAAGCCAAAAAAAAGTTTAAACATCTTCCAGAAAACTAATGGCAACTGCTTTCTGGGACAGGAAAGGTGGAATTCATGCAACACGGGACCACGATGATGTCAGAAGCGTATTGTGAAATGCTAAAAAAGGATAGGGCCATTCAGAACAAAAGGCATGGAATGCTGACATACAGTGTAGTTAGTGTTCCTTCATGACAGTGCATGTCTGCATACAGCTGCTCACACTCAAACGCTGCTGGAGCATTTCAACTGGGTGTTGTTTGACCACCCTCTTTACAGCCCTGTTATTGCTCCAAGTAACTACCACCTGTTTAGTTACCTGAAGAACTGGTTGAGATCACAGCGCCTTAACAATAATGAGGGGTTGTTGGAAGGTGTCAAAACATTGCTGAGCTCACAGGCTACACACTTCTTTCACACAGGCGTACAAAACTTATTCCCTGTTAGCACAAGTGCCTCAATTCTGGGGGTGACTTTGTTGAGAAGTAGCTGAAGTTTGTACATATTTTTTATATATAATATTTTCTTTTTCCTCATTGCTTGTTTTTTTAACAGCTCACTGGAAGTTGCTATCTGAATAGCCCTCATGCATGTTATTTCACATTCCGGTATTCCTGTTTGTCGTTATTGTGGTAAGTACTAATTTTTTTCACTGCTTTAGCAGGTTCTGTTTGCTGGCATCCAGGAAAGTGAGGTACTAGAGGAGGTGCAGATGATGGCCAATGATCTAGAGATTTCATTTCAGGAACTGACAGGGTTACCCACAAAGAAAGGATTTAAACCTCATTTGACAATTCTAAAATTGTCCAAGGATTTTAAACTTAGACGAAAGGTACAGTGTGAGTCATTATGTTGTTTAATTTTGAAGATGTGAAGCGATTTTGGGGCAGAAGGAAATGGCCAAAACACAACAGCTTCTTAAAGTATCTATTTAGGGGAAGGCAGTTGGATTACAGGTAGGAAGTAACATAACAAAACTAAATTGTACATATGCCATGCTTATTTCTATGTATTCACCTGTCAGGTTTGAGGAAACTACAATTTTATTTTTATTTTAAAATTTTATATTGGTACTCAGTGGCATCTTGTGACCATCTGAGAGTTGGGTACAAATATGAATCAAATCCTCCCAGTGCTTGCATGAAAAAGGGGAAAAACTTCTGTCCTTTTTTTACATGTTCATATTTTAAGAGTTTCTAATTTTTATGTTATGTAGTAGGCCTAGCCTTTTGGCAAATTTAAGTTCGTTTTATGTTGACAACATATTAGAGAAAAGGGCTGTGCCCCCCTGCAACCTGTGACTGAGCACACTACAATTCCCACTTGGATTGGGAGGTGATTTGGATCTGGCTATGTCCATGTATGCCCTTTACCACTCGTGTTCATCAGAAGGATGTACAGACCAAAGCTTTTATACCTGCTTTTGCAAATATGAAAGATTTATGTGACACTGAATCACTCTGAAGTTATCTTTCACTTCAGCTCAGTGCTTCTTCATTGTCATCTTATCATGCATGTTATCAGTTTGCTAGCTGCTGCTGTAATGTTGCTCTCAAAATTGTTTTCAGTCATATGTAGTTGAGCGTTTACACTGGGTTCCTGGTCCTCATGGTTCAAAGACCAAGAGCAGAATCAATGTCAGTACAGAATTCCTAATACTTACTTACTCGTGGAGCTGAGCTCTTATGGAGGAGCTGCCAATTCTGCAGCTACTCGAGAATTTCCCAGCATTTTATGGAACCCAAAGGTTCATTACCGTGTTCACAAGAGCCCTCCACTGGTCCCTATCCTGAGCCAGATCTATCCAATCCATACCATCCCATTCTATCTGTCTAAGATCCATTCTAATATTGTCCACCCACCTACGCCTTGGTCTTCCCTGTGGTCTCTTGTCTTCTGGCTGTCCCACCAATATCCTATACGCATTCCTCATCTCCCCCATTCGTGCTACATGACCTGCCCACCTCATCCTCCTTAACTTGATCATTCTAATTATACTTGGAGAAGAGTACAAGTTATGAAGCTCCTCATTATGTTAGGTGGGTCCCTGTCACCATGGCATGGCGTGTCCTCAGGTTGCAGATGTAGGAGACACCCTCCAGTTTTGGAGAGAAGCTGCGAATATATTGAATAAGCAGTCATGGACAGCCGACAAGGGCTGGCCCTCCAGCTTGGGGGTTGGACATGGGACTAACAACTCCTCACCATAAAAAATCATTATGTTACGAAAATGAACACAAAGCCTCGGACAGAATTCCTAATATTCGTATTATATAAGCTTTTTGCTCAGTATCAGCACACATGCACACTGGTCTGCATGTCCCCTGCCCCCCACACGCATGCATGCACACAGTCTAATTTAATTTCACAGTGATAAAGAAAAGCAAGAAATCTAAAATGTTAATACAAGCTTTTGTCCGAGTTTCTGACTCGTAATGCCAGACAGAATAATGAATGTTCAGACAAGTGGGGGAGACACAAATCACATAAAATACTGTGACATGTGTAACTGTTGCTGGGCCACGGGAGGTGGAACGAGTTACCACAAAGACAGACCCTTGATAAACAGTCAGCTGCCAAGTTATGCAACAGTGGAAATGAGGTTATGCAACACTAAAGAAAGCATGTGTCTCAGTGCTGTGCTGAGTAGAGCCGAAGCGCGCTAGTTGCTACACAGCAATAAACCACTCTCAGCAGCGTTCCCCAGCAACGCTTGTAAACCTGTGAAGATCTGAAGGGCCAGGATTTCCCAGCCTAAGTACAAAGGAACAGGCTTATGAGAGAAAGATGTGAAATATATCGAGTGCCATAAGCAGGTGAAAGGAACTTCCATGAAAATGTAAGCCAAGCTTGGACCTGTAAGGCAGGGCCCTGCATGTTATCTTGCAGCTTGGCAACTTCTCTGAGGACTGAAAAAACTTTTCATGTCATACAAAATTTAAACAAATTAGAATTCTCTGAAACCCCTTTTTATGCCATTGTAAATGCAAATGACATATACCGTATTTACGCATGTATAGGCCGCACATTTTTTGCCAAAAATTCAAGAGGAAAACTGGGGTGCGGCTTATATTCGAAATATTCGAAATCACACTTCATTTTAAAAAAATTATATTCATAATTAGTAATACAGGGTGTTCTACTCCTGAAATAATATTCCAAGAAAATTATTTTTTCTATAATTTCTGTCTGAAAATTGTGCTGCGGCCTATACACGCACGCGGCCTATACATGCATAAATATGGTAATTTTATCAAACTACTTTGTCTAAGGTGATGCATTAAATTTTAGTGGGGCCTATCCCATCCAGTCTTCAGGGATATGTATATAACACTTGAGAATTGAACCCATATTCATGTGATGTTTTTGACTTGGAAAGACTTCAGGAATGAGATCCTGAACTGTTGACATGAAGGCAGTGGACACTCATTATGTACGTAGGTCATACCGAAAGTCACGAGCAACTTTTTTTTGCATGCAACCTGGGAACAACAGATGAAAGAGAATACGGAGGTAGGTGGAACCAGCTGTTGTGTTAACCTTGAGTGTCTTGTGACGTCAATACCGTACATCACGTGACCAGTATCACTCCTAACAAATTGGCCGACAACCATATGTCGTTTCGCAAGCATGCTGTCATCGAATTTCTTGTGAAAGAGGAAATCCCTGCTGCAGAAATTCACCAGAGACTTCAGTGTGCTTATGGAAGTGTGTGCATGGGTGCGAGCAGTGTTAAGATGGGTGAAACATTTTAAAGATGAGAACACCAACATCAAAGATGAGCCTCGGAGCGGTCGTCCTCGAACAGCCTCAACTGAACGCAACAAGGAATGAGTGGATGAGATCATTCAAGATGACAAGCATGTGACTGTGGACACAATAGCCCAAAAGCTTGGAATAGGGCACAGTGCAGTACAGGAGATGATTGAAAGCTTGGGCTATAGGAAAGTTTGTGTTCGTTGGGTCCCGTGGTTATTGACGAAGACCACAAAGGTGAGCGAAAAGCCATCACCTCAGAACGGTTGCAGAGATATCGACACGAAGGCGATGATTTTTTGCTCTGTATTGTGACAGGTGACGAAAGCTGGTTTCACCATTTCGAGCCTGAAACGAAATGGCAGAGTATGGAATGGCACCATTTGCATTCTCCATCAAAAAAGAAGACAGACAGTGCCATCAGCTGCGAAGGTGATGGGCACAGTCCTCTGGGATGCAGAGGGGTTTATTCTGGCCAAATTCCTGGAACCTGGGCAAACCATCAGTGCTGCTTGTTATGTCCAGACGCTGCACAAGCACCATCGTGCATTGTGCGATAGACGTCCAGGACAAAACATCATCATCCTGCATGACAGTGCTGGCCGCTCGCCTCACATTGGAAGCAATTGCAAAGATGGGGTGGGAAGTTCTTCCACACCCCTCCTATAGCTCTGATCTGGCACCCTCCAACTACCATCTTTTCGGATTTGTGAAGGATCAGCTGTGTGGACAAAGTTTTGAGACACCGTCAGTGTCTTCGGATGGCTGGAACAGAATTTTACAGAAGGGGAATTTTCAAACTCCCAGAATGCTGGGAGAAATGTGTACAAAGAAGTGGTGATTATGTGGAAAAGTAAAGAAAGGTCTGTAGATTGAGGTGTTGTATTTGGTTTATCAATAATAAAGCATGTTACTTTACAAAAAATTGTTGCTCATGACTTTCAGCACGACTTTCATATATTGTGCTATCAGTTTGTTAAATTCAGAATAGCAAAATAGCGATAGAAATAAGAAAATAACACCTAAATGAAATTTTTTAGCATTATAGGTTCTGCAGTGGTAAGTTTCAGAATTATTTGGTTGGGTCATTCATTCCACATTGATTTCAGTTCATCTGTGTACTTATTTGCCATGTCAGCACATAAAAATCTATAGGCATTTTCACAAAATGGGTTTATATATTATTTGTGATCAGAAATGTGGAGTAATTGGTTATGTATTCATACATCCTTTTTAGGTAGAATGGAGATGAAGTTACAATTACATGAGGATTGTTGGGATCAAATATGGTGTTTCATGAATTGCTTTAACTCTGGTCTGAAAATATTTCTAATATATAAAACTATATGTCCTAAATAAAATATCTGTGTTCAGGAAAAGAAGCATTGCAGAACTTCTAGTATAACAACAGAACTGTTTCACAGACAAAAGTAGTATATGTGATATCAAGACTCTGAACTTCCATTGTTTTTCATAGGTTTTTGCAACCTGTGTTGGGGTTAGTTGTATCATAAGTTGCAGTGACCATCTAGGTGACCGGGACAGAAGAAGGAAATGGACTGATATATAGGTCTTGTAGTGGGAGTAACAAGGCCCTTTCCCATTGGATAACAGCATACGCCCTGCTGGCACCCATAGCCACACTATGACACCTGTATATATAGGTCCACTCCTTCCATTTGCTTCCATTCATCCTGAACATGGCAGTTGCAGTGTGCACTGAAACATTGCTAAACCCTAAGGAGTTAAGTTACACATTTCTTTAAGGCCACGCCATAGCTCACGCAGTTAGTCGCTGGCTTCCCACCACGGCAGCCTGGGTTCAAACCCCAGTCTGGTCAAGTGGGATTTGTGGCTGACAAAGTGGCACTGGGGTAGATTTTGTCTGAGTACTTCAGTTTCCCTTGCCAATCTTCATTCCACCAAATTCTCCATCATAATCACCTGGGGCAGGTACAATAGGCCCATCAGTGGCTGCTGTGCCAAGTGAAGCCAACTGGACTCCACCTCCCACTATGCGAATTTAAAAAATTTTAAATTTTACGCATTTCTTTTATGATGTTGCAGAGGGTGTTGGAAAAATGTAATTTTGTAGATAATAATTAGTGGAGGTTTCAGCAACTGGTATAAATTTCTGTCTGTTTAGTTTTCAGGGAAGGCTGTCAGACAGTCATGAATGCATGAATGACCTCAAAATAAAAGTTAAAAAATTACAGATTAAAAGTATATAAAAAATGTATGCCGTCTACCTGAAGTTAAAGGAGGTTCTGTAAATGTAACATTATGACTCATACAGAATTATGTTCTTGCAGGGTATGTCAAAAATTTCCAGCACTTTGTATTCAGACATGTCTGACACGGTATTTGGCTGTCAGATTGTACGAGGTATTCAGCTGTTATCCATGAACAAACCAAAGGATGGGAATGGCTATTACTACTGTAGTCACCAGCTTGCTTTTGGTCAGTAACTCCATGTTATCTGAGTTGAAGTAAAGAAGTTAGAATTGGACATCAAACACAGTTTACTCTTATACTGAGCACACACTTCATGTAAATTCTAGCTTCTGTCTATCTATTGTACATGATAACCTTTATTTATAGACTTCAGGAAGGTCTATGGTTCAGTAGAGAAGTATTTTGTAACATTTTCATTCAATTTAGTGCCCCCAGATAAGAAAGTCCTTGACCTGTTGAAGTAGAATTCAAAGGTTCAACATAACTAATACCAAGCTTTGCCATTGAACATGATCCTAGATCAGTACTATCAGCCTTGCATGCTCACAACATATTTCCATAAGATTCATAATCATTATCATTCAGGAATAAGGGATTTTAAAACTCCTAGTACTACAAGACTGGCAGACAGGTTTTAACATAAGGATAACAGTATTACCTAACTAACTGTGTGGATCAGAGTCTTTCTGAAGAAGCTGATAATTGATCAGCTAGTCACAAAGGCCCTCCTATTTTTTGGAACCTGGAAGTTCATACCATGTTCACAAGAGCCCACCACTTATCCCTGTTCTGAGCCAAATGAGTTAATGCCACACCCTCTCAACCTGTTCATTTAAAATCTATTTTTATTATTACCCCTCCCCCCCATCTCACCTAAGTCTTCCAAGTGGTTTTTTTTTTTCAGATTTTCCTACCAAAGCTTTGTATGCATTTCTCATTTCTGACACTGGGGTAATGTTGGTATTAAAAAATTGCAGTGCTTGGCCATCTGGACCATACACATGCACCATTTCAACGGTGCAGCACACTTAATAAAGATGAGTGATATCTTTCCATATCATTTAGTTTCGAAATGAATGGTTTCCAGGAAGATTCCCCAAGAATATCCTGTAATCCAGGAAAGTAATTTGGGTAATTAAAATGTTGTCATACGTTTGTACTAGGCATGGGGTTTAGATTTGTGATTGGATTTATTGAATGCTTATGACTTGTAACTACAAACAGTTGTAACACTGTCACTATTGTACATACTCTACGAATCACATTAAGTCTTCTCACTCTGTTGCGTCTTCAATAGTCACTACCACATAGCACATTCTAACAGTGGAGATTCCTCTGCTTATGGCTTACCACCAGCTACAAGTACCAACTCCCAGTTCATGACTTCCATTCTTGTTGTATAGTCGGGACACAGACCACATAGAAAATTCCGCCAATTAAAGTTCTTCTACTACTGTGTGTTTATTCATCACCATGGGAGCATGTTTACCAAGCCATTTATCTTCTCACTCTGCTCTTCTGGCATTCAGGTATCATGTCAGTGTATGTTCAGAAAGGCAGTGATTCAAGTCCTATGTCTCTAGTCTGATAAGTTAGACTTTTGTGATATTTCATTTGTAATTATTTCCCACATACGAGAGTACCAAGAACACTGCAAGGATGTCATAAGAATATAACTCACTCCAGCACTGGAATTTATTATTGGTTGGTTAAAGGTGAAGGTGAATTTGTCCCTGTGCTTCATTCAGCAGGTACAGAGGAGTGGAGGCACAACTCCATGCATTCTTAACCATAACACTAGATGGAGGTGAGAGACCATTAGGTAAGGGGCCAGATGGGCCCCAGATTTTTGATATTTAAAAGATAAATAACTGCACATTTTTGGAGTCAGAATAATAATTCAACTTGTAGTGTAACCAATATAATGAGTGAACTACCCTAGGTCCTGTTGTTGATTTGTTAGCAATGGTTCAATGTGTTTGAGGTGAATAAACTGTTCCCTGCTCTTTGCAAAATATCAATAGGCTGTACTCAAAATGATGTCTGCATGTTTAGAAGCAAATAGTGAGTCAGTTCGTGCTTGGTGACATTTAATAAAAGCGGATATGTATTTCAGTAAGTCAAAAGGAAAAAAGTTATAATGCTGATGGTTGTTGTAATGTCTTCTGTAGTCAGGCTTTTAAAACATTATTCATTGTATGTAATATTTATAGAATATATATATGTATGAACAGTATCCAAGCAAGCAGAATTTCTCTTTAAGTGCCAGGATTGGATGGCTGAAGCTTATGCACTGAAGTGAAATATAAAATGGTAAAGGAAATGAAGCATTCAAAATGGAAGAAATAAAGGCACTTATAAGTGAAGAGATAAGGTTGATATAAAATGTCTCAGCCTTCTCCTATATATACAAGAAAACTATAGGAAGAAGATTACTCAAATTAAATCAGACATGATGAAATAATGGAGCCAGTAAATATCAATTTATAAGGCAGTGATGCTGACCAGGAAGTTCTCAGTTGTGATAATGACAAACCATTAGCCATTCCTCTGAATTAAAAAGGACATCAGTAACATGGTGTATTTGATTAGTCTGTTTTATACATATTTATTAAGTTCATCTTTTAGGATACAAATATTAATGTTTGTCTCACCCAAAATGTTTTGGTATATTATTACAATTTTGAATGCACAGGTGCTGGCAGCACAGCAGTAACTATTGTCCCTCACAAACAAGGCATGAATCCATGTGTAGGTAAACATTTGTGTAACACATTTAATGTTCAGAATGACAACATTCAGAGTCAAGTTCTATTTCTAACCTAAAAGTGTCCCATTCTATCACTATACACAGTCCTAGGAAGCCCTGTATAACCAAATCTGGTGCATTTCTTCTATTTCCAGAACTTTGACCATAGGTAAGTACATTGCACATTGGATACACAATGTCCAGAATTTGGAGAGAATTCACATTCAGCTCCAGAGATAGGGGCTAGCTCTGTCTATTGGACCCAACTGAGTAGGTTTTACCTGAAGACGGGGACAGATTCCAGTTCCCGAAACGTTGTGTTTTTTAATAGAAACTAGACGGGGTGNACAAACTTTAGATCTTAATTGAAAATTACAGTTCAGTAAATGCTACTTCATTGGTTTATCATTGACAGTTGCCAGCCACTGTCACTATCTGTTATTTTTATGGATATTGGTGACGAAGATTGGGCATTTTTTAAATTTCTGCATAATTTAGTCATTGTGCACAATAACTGGTCAATGTCAACAATGCGTACTTCAAACTTAGAAATACCAAAAGATATGAAATTTACTGAGTAATCTTGCCAATATGTATGCTAACCATGGCTCTTAAAACTATATGCAAGCATTGTGGTAGAGTTTTTGGATGTGATTCAGATCACATTTCCAGCTTTTGCTTTTTTACAGGTAATTAGCCACTGTACTATACATTACTATGTAGACAAGGGAAGCAAGTATGTGCCAGAAGAAGAACATGCACTTTCTCGCTTAGCGTTGTATAAAGATGTAAAGTATATTTTCTGAATCTCATCTTCTTGCAGATGTGCCTCACTCTGAAGCAGATGACCATTCTGAATGCTGTAGGAAACCTTTGTCGGTGAAACCAAATCTTGAGAAAGTATCACAATTGCAATGCATCATGAAACATGAGAAAGATGTGATTAAACGGAAGTTCCATTCCTTGAGTCTGGCAAGTCTATCCTCTGTGTTTGGGAAGGCAAATGAGCCCTCATGCAAAACAGATGACAGTGATTCACTGTTAAAGACTCTACTTGTAGTCAGTTTTGCAACTGTTGCCATCATAGCAGCTGTACAAGGGATGTCATCCAGCAAATGAGTATTAGTATCAGATCAGTGGTGTAATGTTGGAGTGGAAAGGTGCCACATATGGGCCCTTTTTTTTTGTAAATAGTTACTTTTTCTGCATTAATAACAGTTTATAAAATATAAAACTTTACACTAAGTTTGTTTTATTTATCTGTGTACTAATGTAACATTCTGCAGTTATGGAGACTAGAGAGATAGTCAATCCAAAATGATGCAAGGTCCATATTAGGGTACTCTGGCCTATACTGTGGATCTGCACCTACACGTCAGCTGCAACTACAGCACACATGAAGAACTTGTTTTCAGCATCACCAGCTCATTCAACAGGACACAATTTTTCGTTATCTTTTAAGAGATGATATTTCATGCTCCAGTGTACTAGCTGATGGCCTGGTTTTTTAAATGGCCTTAAATGTCTGAAACGCAGTGTTTCTGAAAATAAGTTGTATTTATTGCATGCTTAAAGCCATATGCTTCAAATAAAAATGATTGGGGAACCATGGTTCACAGGAGGAATATTGAAATGGCCGTGGCAGGTGGTTAGAAGTCTGTAAAATTAGGAAAATTACATGTGTATCATGAATAGCTAGGCAACAGCTTGTAAACACATGTTTCTTAGGTAACACAGTCAACTATAGAACATTGTTTACTAGAGTTTTGATACATGCAGTGTGAATTTAACTGATTAAAACCTGATATCCATGACGACAAACCTCCAAAACACAGTAACGGCTAGGAACACAATAAGTATACTAGCGAAGTAGGTGATCTCCTTACGATTTGACCAGAACCTACCTCAGGCAGACAGAATTCAACAGAAGTGTAGTTACAGTAACATTTAGAGTGTTATTGTTCATAGTTACAAAGCGTTATAGTTACAGTAAGATTATGTTATAACTAATTGTAGTTCCACCTGGTGAATATCCAACAAGTCAATTTATTTTATTGCTAGTGGGATGGGACTAAGTCCCTTGTACTGCAGCCACTTCTGGCCTATTGTACCAGCCCCAGATGATAAGTGAGGGTGATTGTGGAGCAATTGGTGGAATGAAGATTGGCAGGGGAAACCAAAGTACTCGGAGGAAACCTGCCCCAGTGCCACTTTGTCCACCACAAATCCAACTTGACCAGACCCAGGATGGAACCTGGGCCACCGCGGTGGGAAGCCACCGACTAACTGATTGAGCTATGGCGCGACCTTTAAATCTGGAAGCGCCGGGAATCGAACCCAGACCTCTGGATCTGTAGCCAGGCACTCTAACCACTAGACCACAGAGGTGGTCAATAAGTCAATCTAATGTGGAACCCATGAAATACTTGCATTACCAGAATACGTGACTAAGCAGAGAAATTGAATATCCATATTTGTTAGAAACAAGTGGTCATAACTCCTAAACCATAAGTGATGGACCAAAATGGATTGCATTTTTTAGAAGCTCTTACAGTTTATCCATGGCAGGCAGTTGAAAGTCTGTAAAATTAGGAAAATTATTACATATTTTGGGTCATTGTTTAAACAATGTACAATTTTATTTTGGGAATAAAATTAACATCATTTTTGGATATATCAGTCTTTATTCTTTCATTTACAAATAACTTTTAATATAAGATACACTGTAGGTCTTGAGTTATGAGCGGTTATGTAAGAGGTTGCACAAGTGTTATGCTAAGTGTTACTTGCGGCTTCATTGTTACACTTTCTGTTACTTGTGGCTTCATTCCAGCAGACATCTTATCAGTGCATGATGTCATACGATGCCAACTTGCCTATAATATTGCATCATCCACTAGTCATATAGCTTGCATTCAATAACATTTGACTCACAATATGTCCAGATTCTTCTACATGCTTTGCTGTGCACATTTCCATGGTAATGAAGTCAACAATAGAACTTGGTTACTTAGCAGTGAAGGTACCAATAATTACAAATTGTTACATTTTCTGTTAATAACAGTTTCATTTTATTTGCACCCTCATATAATAACGTTTTCAATGTTAAAAACATGAATATTAAGAACTAATCCATTTTTATCCTTTCAAAGTTTTGAAATATAGTGCCTGTATATATGCACTTAGTTTACACTTCTATTTTCACATGTTCATTTCCATTTTAATTTATATTTAGCTCTGAAAAGTGCCAGAAGCTTTCAGTGAAAGATGTACATTTCATGTATGTTAATTATCACCACTGCTTCCTCCCACCCATGTTTGGGACTGCTAGCCAGTCAAATTAGGTCATCAAACATAAATATAACTCAATCATTAGGGTTTCCTGAGACAGGAAGCAATCAGTGTCAGCTCATTCTAACCCATGCTTTGAGCTTCTTATCTCTGATTTCACACTATAAGGGCATGCCATCACGAGCTTCAAAGTACAGCTCCTGGACAAACACAAGACTGAGTACTTCTAACAGCAAATCAGAGGCAACTGAGGAAAACTCTGACCAAACAGACAAGGAGAAAGATGACCAGATGGAACAATCTCCATTTTGACCCTGCCAAGAAGGGTATGACTGATGGCAAACCAAGGGGCCAGTCAGATACTTGTATCCACAACGGCAACACATACGAGTTCTAATGTGTTTATTCCAATACTACTTGCACTGTTTAGGGGTGTCAGACAACAATATCCATCAATCCATTAGTAATATGGCTGGTAAAGCAGAATATTGCACCATAAATAAATAAAGACTCAGCTCTATACAGTGTTTTCAGGTTATATTTTGCACTTGTTATTACTGTGCTGGTGAAATAGACTAATTGATACTACCAGTACTTGTACTTTCTTGTTTATTATCTGATATCACTGTATCTGAAATGTTTCTTTTTCCGGTCATTATTATTGAAATGGGGACATGAAGATTATGACAACCTAAAAGACTTTTGGTTGATTACTGAATAAATCTTTTTGCCCTTTTATGGCAAGACAGTGAGAGTGACAAAATTCCCTCACATTCATGGATTTAGTCACATTTCAAATAATGGCAGTGATCTTGACAATAATCACACGAACTATGACACACTGTTGAAATTAAGACATTTTTTTGACATGCTGGATCCTGCATATTTAAAATGTAACACTCCTTTTGAGCATCTGGCTGTGGATGATGTCATATTTCTTTTCAAGGGGAGGAAAATTTTCAAACATTAGATACCCAAGGAACACCTGTATGCAGAATAAAGATTTCTAAGTTATGGGACATGTCTGGCTCCGCATATTATGTGGATGTCTGCATAGCTATGGAGAAGACTCAGATGACTGCAGATATGGCAACATTTGCAACTAACTGAAGAACAAGTGACAGAAAAGATTGAAGGATGTTGAGGTGCTATATATGAACAGCTTCTTTTGGTTGCCTGACTTATTCAGCAATCTGAGAAAAAAGAAAACCAGTTGTAGGGCATTCAAACCTAACAGAAATAGAATGCCACAGAACGTTTCTTGCTGGCTTCATACTTGGGTTCTTGGACTATGAAGAAGGAGGCAGTACATTTCTCTGAAATTAGAGTTGACTTCTGCAACTACTCGGTGCTACATCCCAGAAGATGATACTCTCCTCTCCTGCTGTCTACTTCTTGGTAGTTTCTTGCTTGGCTTGCCCTTTGTCCATGGAGATAAAGGCAGAACATTGGTGCACTTCTACCAGACTATGTGGCATTACATACCAGAAGATAGTACTATTCATATGCTCTGTTTGCCACCTGCTTCTTGCTTGCTGTATTCCTTGACCAAGAAGGTGGAGTTAGAATGTTGGTGGACTTCTACAAGACTACATGACAATACAACTGAGAAGATAGTACCCTTAAAGATTTATTTTCAATGTTTTCTGCAGGACACTCCAGAGTAATGCCAAGGGAACCTGTTCATGGTCTACCAGACCATCTTCAAATATAATTACAGGCCACAGTATGGTCAGGCAGGGTCTTAAAGACCAAGTGCTCTGGATTCACTATGACCACATTTATCATCAGTATCAACAAAGATTGGTTCTTCAGATCCGTGTCAGGAACTACTAGATAAACTTGTTTAATTGTAGTGCTTTTTTTTCTTGATTTCCTCTTAATATCTTCATGTTTCTTTTATTTATGGTTTATTTGGTGACACTGTTAGTAGTTCAAACTGTATAACTTTGAGTCCAGTTCTTGATACTTCATTACTGTAAATGAGCAGTTGGCAGACTTCTCGTGCCACATCTTGATTTCATAATTTTCGTTGCAGTGGGGCTGGATTGGTTTCATGTAATTTATTTCTGTAAACAGAATTGTTTATGATTTTTTAAGCCTTGTGTTTATTATCTTTGGCAATGTAAGCAATGGTCTGACATCAGAAAGCTTAAACAAACACCAGCTTTTGGGTGGATGTATTTATATCAATTTTCTTGAGTGGCTGAAGAATATGTGTCAAGTTTAAATCAGAAGTTGATGCTAAATTGTCCAGGCTCAAAGTTTGAGTTTCATTAACAAAAAACTTGTGATTTTTAAACAAGTTTGTTGAAAGGCAACATAGCAGTCTTTAAATCCCTTTATTGCTCTTTCCAGAAAAGCATTCTGAAGATGAGTCTGGCCTAACTGTCCTGCAAATTGATGTTGTGTTAGAATCTATCCAGGGTTGTTTCAAAGCCACATGTCTGTTTCCTAGGGCTACTGTAGGGTTTTTTGATAGTCACCATAAATGCTGTATTGTTGAATTTCTGTGGACTGAATTACAAAGTAGATATGTGTTAAAAATGTGATCTCTTTTGCCATATCAGTGATGTCCAAGGTTTGGGTGTGTGAATTATATATATATATATATATATATATATATATATATGCCACACGCCACAGCTGAACTGTAAGATCATGGGTAAGAGACCAGGTTTGTATGGGAAGTGGATATATAGCTCCATACATACTGTTGTGAGTTTGCTAGGTAATTTGACAAGAAATTTGTGCGTGGTCTTGGATTTGGCAAATACGTTTATTGGACAGTCACTTTTACATTTACAAGTACAGTTATTCCCACTTACAATGTCTTTGGACGTTTCTTCTTCAATGTTACAACACTCTTGCACCACTAATCTTAGTGAAGTGTCTTCTGGTTGTAGCTCAACTGTCCTTAGTTCTCATCAGATACGAAACTCTGCTGCTGTAGTCAGATATGGACTCTTATATCCTGCACTCAGACAGAATAGGGAATACCTTGTCGAAGGGTTAATTTCGCCTGCTGCTATGCAAGGAATCTCGTGTTGTGATGGGAATATGTGTCTGTCTCAAACAATTCATTTGTAACAGTGGAAATCCCACTGTTAGACTTTCATTTCCAGGCCAGCAATTGCTAGCTGTTGACCAGTGATGGACATCTTATAGTCTGGTTTTCAGGCAGCACCAGATCATATTCACTGAACGATGGATTTAAATGAGAAAACTTTAGGTCCATCTAACCAACAGTGTGCATTTGTAATAATACTACTTACATCTTGGCCCCTACAACTAACAGACATCTGTGATAAAATAAATTCAGTTTGTGGGAGGTTGCAAATGGCCCAATATACCAAATACATGGCAGACAGTTTTTTCTCAGACCATACATAAACATGAAAGAAGCCTGCATTATAAGACCATCTAGCTTGTTTATGACATGGAAAAATACGTCAATTTTAATATTATTCCCTTACCTACACCAAGGTGTCCTAAGTGGTTCCTTTCCTACATGTTTCTGAATATAATTTTATGTGTTTCTTATCTTTCCCATTTGTGCTGCATTCCATGCTCATTTCATCATCTTTCATTTTATCAGCTAAAAAATGTGAACAGTATGAATTAGGAAGATCCTCAGTTTTTCCTAGCACTCTGTTCCCAAACACCCTTAGTATACGTTCATCTCTTAGGATAACAGACCAAGTTTGAATCTTACAGAAACAAAACTGCTGATTTCCATATTTTAGTCCTTATATTCCTTGGGAAGAAGTCCATGCAATAATTCACAACATACCGAAAAAAACAAAGACTGCTCATCTCAAAGCAAAGACCAGTTTTGTTTTTCTGCAGTGGGAATTATATTGAACCATAATTCTGATTTAATTATATTATTAAGTCCTGTTAAGATATATGAGTTTATGCAATAATTGTCACTCATCATCACCCTGGTTAAACCATCCATTCAAACTCTCCTGAAGGGCTTGAACCTGTTTCTCTATATTGTCCAGTCTGTCTGTCAGTTGTTTCTCTGATACTTCTGACTTCCTGTCAATAATATCCATGGCAGATTTCATAACACTGCTGTCCATCTTACAGCAGCCTCCAGGAAGTCCATAGCAATCCATCTCTGTGGCCATATCACAGTCTGTTTTCTTCTTTGGAAAAACTGTACTAGGGAAGATGATAATTCTCTGGCCCAGATTAGGAAATACCTTAAATTCATTGTTGGGCAATGAATTTGGAAAAATAAATACATTCTTGAATAAGTTCTGTACACACATGAGGTTGGGGTGAATGTATTTTGGCCAACAGCAGCACTGATATTTTGCTCCCACTGGACAAGGGCAAGACAAGGGATCCCCTAAGAGCATGGTTTCAAAATAAAATATTGTTTCAATCATGGATTCAATGCTAACTAGTTGTGCATCATTTTTAATGGCCTGTGTGTCACTTACTGCCAGGCCATTGAGCAGGTTCACCATGACTAAGGGTACTAAAAGCACGAAGAAAAGAAATATTACATAACTCAGACCAGGCACAAGATCAAATGGTACACTGGAGATATCAAATTCACCCATTAGCATTATAAGTGTTCTGAATATAGACATAGAAGGTTGCTGAAAGAAATTGTCTTCAGTGCCATTCTGTCCAGATGTTATTCTATCATGAAAGAGTGAATAAAATCCAAGAGCAAAAGCAATGATGAGGAAAACATCCCATACCAAGAATTTTAAGTAATTGCACAGAACTCTACGCATCATCTCATTGTATGTGGACAGCACATGGATGTGACCAATCTGGAGGAACATTTCAGTCCAAGCAAGTAGTATTGCAATGGCATCAAGAGACCGGGCACACTCACTCCCTTCCTTAGACAGAATAATGAGTGTGGATATAATCAAGAGCAGCTCAATGCAATTCTCAAAGCCACAGAAGTACCTTTTGGGTGACACAACCATTTGGAACAGTTCTCGTAGCATAAGGCCTACCAAGAGAATGACCAGCAGTATCCACTGTATACCTGTATGCTTTGTTCTGTCATGTAAAATTATTTGTGGGTTCGAGGTGTTTCCAGGTTTTTCTGAACAGTCTCCGAGAATGTGAAGTGTCAGCAAGCCCACAAATACTGCGTAAAATATGAGGTTAGTGTAGAAGAAGATTCGGAAGTGGTTCCACTTGAGGTGCAGGAAACTGAGTAGCACAGGATGCGTAAGGAGTGGCCTGAGGTCTTGAGACTTGCTGATATAATGGAGTGGATACAGCTCAGGAACAGGTTTATGTGAGTCTGTGCTTGATCTGCCCAGTTGGCCACTTTCTTGAGACTGGAAATACTGTACACTACATTCATTTGTGGGTGGTTCAAGGAATCCATATTTAAATGTTAGTTCATATTTGTCATCTCTCCTGAACTTGCCATTGCTTTCTAAACAGTCATCTAGGAAGCTTCTTAAAGTTACTGGATCAATGTCAGCTAGAGGTGGATAACCAAAATGGTTCTCAAGCCCAACATATGCCCCATTCTGAAGCAAAGCTCTGGCATAGTGCTGGTCTTCTTCTTTGACTGCATAATGCAAGGCAGTGTTCCCATTAATATCTGTGGCATTAATTTCGAGTTTTAAACTCTCTTTCCTTTCCAAGAGCAGTTTAAAGCATTTTCGGTAGTCACTGCCATGGGCTGGTTTTAGATCTTTACCTTTCACCACAGCATGGAGTAATGTTTTACTGTCAACTGTTTCAACCTTTGCCTTGTATTCTGATAACAACAGCAGGATGTCATAGAATCCACCTGAACATGCATGAAATATTGGAGGCTTCCTATTGGTAGGTACTGTGGCATCAGGATCAGCGCCGTTGGACAACAAGAACTTTGCTATATCACACAGACCATGATGACAAGCATACTGCAGGAATGTAAATTTTCCATCATCAGCATTTATTAGTGCTTTTTTATCAGTTGTCTCAAACTTTGATTTAAAATCATGATATTTTTTGAAGTACAGATATTCAAACAAAGTAGTGACCTCTGTATCTTCCTCTTCTGAAAGTTCTACTGACTTTGGTGAAGGCAGGTATATATCAGGGAACTTTTCTTGTATGAGTTCTCGTATTGTTTTTCCACTTTGTGTGTCTCTGTTTTCAATCGCAACATTAAATTTACCATATCTCAGAATAGCTTCAACAGCAAGTTTACAATGTCCTAGAAGTGCTTCATGCACTGCTGTGCGTCCTTTTCGGTTATGCTTGTTGATCTGTATATTAGACTTGGCCATAAGAAGTGCAATACATCTCTCCATGTCATCTCTGTTCTTCATGAAATGCTTGGCTGCTGTGTGCAAAGCTGTGCAGCCAAAGTTGTCCTGGATGTTGACATCAGTTCTGCTGTCTTGCAGCAATACAGCTATTGCTCTATAGTTGCCATGTTCAGTTGCGACATGCAAAGGCGCTTTGTTACGAATGGGATTCACATGATTGGGATCTGCACCAGCAGCCAGCAAGGCTACTATGAACTCTTCAGAGTCATGTTCCTTACAAGCCATATACAAACATGTGGCATAATGAGGATCACCATATGGATGGTCAGGGTTTACGACCTTCTTGCCATCTGCATTACATTGCTGTAGAAGACTACTGAAAAGGATCATGTCCCTGTCCTTGAGAGCTGTGAGTAGCTGTGCTTGAAAATCTGGTGGCATGCATACACTGCATGCATCCCTATTTTTGGACATGGTTCCTAAAAAGAGAAAGAATATTTCCAAATGTACATTGTAAATGATGAACATTTTAATATGTAGGTAATCCGGCGGAAACTTTATGCTACAGTAGACTTGCCTCAATTGTGACAAAGTGACAGGCTGTTACCTCATTTTACTAGACCCATCTAGAAAAATTATGGAACTGTAGCATAACATCTCATCTCCCACACTCATGCTAAATTGTCAGCTCATCAGAACCTCATTGATTTGATCATTGTGAAGAATACAGTAAGGGAGACTGAGGCTGGTTGCTACGTGGTGCTAGTTGTCAAATAACTAACTTCATGGTGCTGGGCCTACCTGAGAAACCGCCAGTTGTGCAGCTATTCAAGAACTTCCCAGATTTTATGCAACCCGAAGGTTCATTATTGTGTTCATAAGATCCTTCCAATGGTCCCATATTCTCAGCGAGATCAATCCAGTCCATACAACCCCATGCTGTCTCTCTAAGATCCATTTTAATGTTATCCACCCACCTACATCTTGGTCATCCTAGTGGACTCATTCCTTCTGGCTTTACTACCAATAACCTATGGGCATTCCTCTTTGCCTCCATTCATGCTACATGTCCTGCCCGTAGCATCCTCCTTGACTAGATCATTCTAATTATACTTGGCAAAGAGTACAGGTTATGAAGCTCTACCTTATTCAGTTTTCTCCAACCTCCCATCACTTCATCTCTTTTCAGTTGAAATATTCTCCACAGCACGCCACTCTCAAACACCCTCAGTCAATGTTCCTCCCTTAACATCAGAGACCAAGTTTCACACCCATACAGAACCACAGGAAAAATTATAGATTGTATATTCTAATTTTTATGTTTTTAGACAGCAGACAAGAAGACAAAAGGTGCTGGACTGAATGGTAGCAAGCATTACCCGAGTTCAATCTCCTCTTAATTTCCCCCTGAATCAAGTTTTCATTTGTTATCATCTTTCTCAAATATCTGAACTGTGCCACATTTTCGAAGCATCTGTTTCCTATCTTTATATCATGATTTTGCCCTGCATTTTGATGACGAGACAGTAACATATACTTAGTTTTCTCTGTGTTTACTTCTAGACCAACCTCCTTACTAGCATCAGTTAAAGCTTCTGCTTTTTTTCTTTATGGTATCTACATTATCACCCAGTAGATTCACATCATGAGCATAGACCAACAGCTGATGTGTCCTGTTTAATTTCAGTCCTACCTCGTTTTTCATGACCTTCCAAATGGCATATTCTACAGTAAAGTTACAAACAGTGGCAAAGAGTATGACCTTGTTTTAGATCATTTTGGATAGGAAAATTATGAGGCAAATATTTACCTATATGGACTTCACTATGCATTTTATTTAAACACATTTTAATCAGCCTAACCAGTTTCATGAATACCATAAACTCTTTAAGGATATTGTACAATACTTCCATACTAACTCAATCATACGCTTTCTTGAAGTCTAAGAATAGCAGAATACTGTCTCATCGTACTCCCATTTTTTCTCCAGTATCTGACAAATGCAAAATATCTGATCAGTGGTTAATCTGATACATCAAAACCTACACTGATGATCCCCAGTAATTTTATCTATATATGGACTTAACCTTGAGAGAAGAATATTGCATAAAATTTTGTATGAAGTTGATAGCAGTAATAGCCCACGATAGTAACTATAGTCAATTTTATTGCTCTTCATTAGAATTGATACAATAATAAAGTCCTTCCACTGATCAGGCAAGTCTTTTTCATTTCAAACTGAATTAATGAGTTTATGGATCTCAGACTGTAATATCTCACCTCCTGCTTGAATAAGTTCTGCCAGAATTTGATCATTGCCTAGTGATTTATAACTTTAGAACTATGCAATAGAAATTTAAACCACAGAAAGGCTATGATGAGGTACTAATGACTCAGCTGTATGTATTTCTGTCTACCTAACATCATTGACCCTACATACTGAGAGAAGTAGTTCTTTCCCCATATTCAAAATTTTGTGGGAATTTGCAAGCACATCACCATTATACAACTCTTTAATGAACCGTCACAACACAGCAAATAGTAAAACATCAAAGTCAGCGTACAGCTGTGGCTTTGCTGCATGTTTCGGCCACTATCGGCCATCATCAGGCAAATACATATCAACAAAAATCTACCATTTAACTGCAATCATAAAATGGATATAACACTATTAATCATATAATTTTAAAATTGCTTATGTAAAAAATACAAAAGTTCATAGGTTGGTAACCCCTCTCAGATTAATTTATTCTTGTGTATATGTCTCTAATATTCTTGCTTATGCTTTGCGTTCTAAACTCTACAAGAACAAATTTCACTTCTCTTAGTATTATGTATCTCTAACAAACTGTACCCTCATAACTGCTGACACGATTCTCTTATTTGCAAAAAAAAAAAATATACCTTATTCATGGTGGTTAGTCCCCTTTCCATAGAAACATGTGTATTCACCTGCTGGTTCAGTGCTACCTTTGTCCCATCTGACCTCCTGTAATCTAACTTATACATATTTTGATATTTCTTTTGCACTTGTCATGAGGAAACCCGCCTTATACAGACATTTTACATCCCACATACCAAATCTTATGTCCATTTTCTTTAGCTTAGATTGTTTATCTGAATAATCCGTCCAGGTCCGAGGACATTGTGACACTTCCTAACAAGCTTATTTTTTTTTGGAATCGTTAGCCCCAAACCTGGAGGGCCATGACTTTTCGGCTGTCTGCGACTGCTTATTCAATATATTCATCACTACGCTCCATGTCTGAAGGCCCTTGCCTCCATCCGCAACCTGAGGGCGTCCCGTACTGTGGTGACAATTGGATCCACCTAACATGGTGATAGTTTTTAAATACAAATTAAAAATGAAGCGTAAGTAATAGTGACTCCGCCATCTACCAGACTAAAGCCATGGTGGACCTCTGCTTGTCCCTACTCAGTAGTTGCTCTGTGATTGGTCGCCCTGTGTGGATGGGAGAAAACATGTTTTCTTTGCCTTTGCATAAATTTTCCATTCTTTTGCTTTCTTTTTCGTAACAACTAGTGGATTTATTTTTACCGAACAGTTTCGTGACATCCCAGCTACTGGAATTCTGGTATTTTATTGTAATATTTTAAATTTTATATCGCACGTCTTTGTTCTTGTAATTCATTGTAAAAATGTATAAAAGGAGTAAGTTGTTGCAACAATCTAGGGGTTAGCTGTTAATCTGTAACAGCTTACTCAGCTGCCATTTGATTTTGTTCAGCTGGCAAATATGAGAATCCACAAGAGGAAAATGAAAATATGGAGCATTCCCAAAGAAACTTATGTGGAGACGGCAAAAGAAGTTGTGATTAAAGCATTCAATTAAAGCTAGTCATCTGCCAAGTGCTAAGTAAATTTTATGACGCTACAGAGATTTTGCAATGAAGATAGTGAATAGAATTCACGAAAACCTAAGGAATCTTGAGGCGCTGACTAGTCTAAACAAGAAGCTGAATCCTTTTATATTGAATTTGCGAAACCTTGCTTATTTTTCAGAGCTCCTACAAAATGGTTCCGGTACAATGCATGTAATGGATGAACCCACGACTGTTTCCCCGCGTTCAGCGATTTCTGTATTTCTAACAACGACAAATCTTACGACGATATTTACGATTTCGTGTCTGTAGATTGGTGTGATGCGGTATCTGCGATCGCTTTGGTTACATTATATATGTATATAAATATAAATAGTTTATTTAATAAGTAATCATAAAGACCGCGCCATAGCTCAAGCGGTTAGTTGCTGGCTTCCCACCGCGGCGGTCCGGGTTCGATCCCTGGTCTGGTCAAGTGGAATTTGTGGTGGACAAAGTGGCGCTGGGGTAGGTTTTCTCCGAGTACTTCGGTTTCCCCTGCCAATCTTCATTCCACCAATTACTCCACAATCACCCTCACCTATCATCTGGGGCTGGTACAATAGGCCAGAAGTGGCCGCAGTACAAGGGACTTAGTCCCACCCCACTAGCAATAAAAAAAAATCATAAATATAAAATATGCATTTGAATTCTCTGTCAAACTCAAATTAAATGCGAGAAGCAGAAACCGAGGGCAATATTAAACACGAAAGAAAGAATCCGTCACCACCACTGATATTTGTGCCAGGACTCATAAACATGCAGCGACTAAAAGCTACAATTGAACAGGTAATAAACAGATCAAACTACACTTTAAAAATAATCAACAATGGAGCAGTAAAGATAAGAACAAACAGAAATATCACAAAACAATAATAGACATGCTAAAAGAGAAAAATAATCGAGTTCCACACACATCAGTCTCGGTAACAACTTGCGTACAGAGTGGTAATCAGAAATCTACACCACTCGGTGCAGCAGGAATTGATGAGAGAAGATACTGAACGAAAGGGGCGCAAAATTATAAACTTATAGAACATCAGGCAGGAGGTTTCTGGCTACCCCTTGTCACTCTCCTCCTTAGATATCGCACCAGCAGGAACAACAGCGAAATAAACAACATTAAATATGATAGTCCAAAAGCAAAATAGTAATATACTACAACGCAAGAGATGCCAAGCATACTTCCACACCAAGGGGTACTGCACACAGAGACCAAGATGCGTGAAATGTGGCAAATCAGTTAGCATTGAACAATGCACTCTACATGCCTACGCTGTAGAGAATCGCATCTGGCCAGCTATAGAAGCTGCAGTCTATCAAGAAATCATAAGCACACGATTTTCTTCGCATTCATATTACAAATACACCGAGACAAGAGAATGAAATTCCTGCAACACCACAGAAAAGTGAAAGACGACCGAAAATGACATACGCACAAACAACTAGAAATACTATCGAAACGCCAACAATCACACCAAACAACACACAAGAATATACACTGATCAAAGTAATGCAAGAGTCCTTCACAAGGTTCGAAGCCATCTTGACCAAACAAGCTGAAAAAATGAGCACACCCCTTAATCTCCTCACCACA